ATATAATTGCATACATTTCATTAAATGTTTTTATTAAAATACTTCGAGGCTGGGTGTGGTAGCACAAGACTTTAATCTCAGCACTTGGGAGGCTGAGACAGGAAAATGGCTGTGAGTTTGAGGCCAGCCTGGTCTACATAGTGAATTCCAAGACAACCAGACAGAAAGATCCTGCCTCAATACACACACACACACACACACACACACACACACCACCACCAACAACAACAAAAAACTCACCAAGGAATGACTCTCTTACCGTTTGTCATTTTTACAAAAAGGATTTAAAATGAACTCTCAGAGATTTTAAAATAACACAATAGTCACTAACTATAGTTACAGCATTGCAAAGATAATCTTTTGAGCCAGGTCCTGGTGGTGTATGTGGCAGGATACTTGATCACACTGGTAGGAATCACCCAAGTTTGACAGTGATGTCTAATTGAGTGGCAGACAAAGTGAGGAATCAGAGAAAGATTTGACAGAACAGGATACACCCACCTCTCAGGAGAACAGAGTAAAAAGAGGCTATTGAGGAGAGATCAACACAGAGAGAGAAGAGAAAGCAGGTTTCTTCGGGAAGTTTCACAGAGACAGATTCAAGAGAGAACAGACTAGACACAGGTGAAGACAGAACAACCTAGAGAATGAGAAGGAGCTAGAATATTAGAACATATTGCCAAAGTTAATATGAGGCCAAGCAGAGCAAACAGTTAGAGCCAGTGAACGAAGCCAGACTGAATCAGTCAGCTTGGAGAGGAGTTTGAGCAGAACAGCTGAGTTGAACCAGCCAGCCAGAGATCAGAAAGAACTAGAAAGGGTGAGCAACAACAAGTTTCAGAGGCTGAAAACATTCTAGGTCTAGGTTAGCAGACTGAGTAAGCAAGCCTTGGAGAGAATAATTTCTTTAGGTGAATAGAAGTAACTTTTACAGATTTACACCTTTAATCCCCACACTTGGGAGGCAGAGACAGAACTCATCTATGAGTTTGAAGCCAGCCTGGCCCATGGAATGAGTTCCAGGACAGCAAGGGCTACACAGAAACCCTGTTTCAAAAAAATCAAAAATAGATGAATTAATGAATTAAGTAAAAAATGAATAATAAACCCAAGAAAAATCTTTTGAATTTACTCCTAATCTGAAATTTGGTACATGTGACATAATATCTTCAACTTGTCCATGTTGTCACAGATGGTAATATTCCTGCTGTCAAGCCTCAGTATTGTAAATACATCACATTTTTATTTTCTTTTTTTTTTTTTTTTTAATTTTTTATTTATTTATTATATGTAAGTACACTGTAGCTGTCTTCAGACACCCCACAAGAGGGTATCAGATATCATTACAGATGGTTGTGAGCCACCATGTGGTTGCTGGGATTTGAACTCATGACCTCTGGAAGAGCAGTCAGTGCTCTTAACCACTGAGCCATCTCACCAGCCCCACATTTTTATTTTCACTGTATTCTCTGTACCATTCATCTGAGGCTGGATACTTAGATTAATGCTGTGCTTTGCACTCTGAATGCTGCTGCCGTGAATGTAAGCCTGCAGGTGTCTCAGACAAGCTGACACTGTTTCCTTTTGATACACACCCAGTAGGGAGACTGCTGCGTCACCCATGAGTTCCAGCTTTCTGTCACTGTGGACACTGAATACTGCTGCCCATAGAGTCCATGTACTTTCCACTCCCACCAGCACTCAGCAAAGGTTTCCTTTGCTCTACAAGTCTAAATCCTAGCTTTGAACTGGCCATCCAAGCAGTGACTTCCATTATTGTTTTTAATTTAAACTTCTTTGATGGCAGACTTTGAGCATTTTTTCATATACCTGTCTACCTTCATTCACATATATGATCTACTTCTTAAAAATATGGTTTCCTTTGCTGTTTTAAAGCATACTGTTGAGGCTGGAGAGATGCCTCAGTGGTTAAGAGCAGTGACTGCTCTTCCAGAGGTCCTGAGTTCAATTCCCAGCAACCACATAGTGGCTCACAACCATCTGTAATGGGATCTGATGCACACTCTTCTGGTATGTGTCTAAAGACAGTTATTACAGTGTACTCATATAAAAAAATAAATAAATAATATTTGCCGGGTGGTGGTGGTGCACGTCTTTAATCCCAGCACTTGGGAGGCAGAGGCAGGTGGATTTCTGAGTTAGAGGCCAGCCTGGTCTACAGAATGAGTTCTAGGACAGCCAGGACTACACAGAGAAACCCTGTCTCAAAAAAAAAAACCAATAAATAAATAAATAAATAAATAAATAAAGCATACTGTTTGTTTACAGTTGAGTTTTTTGAGTTCTTTTTTGGTTTTCAATTTTCTCCCATTTTGTAAAGCTGTTTCTTTTTTTTTGAACTTCCTACTATCGGAAATATACTGTCCGTTTTCCCCTTGGCTATGCAGAAGCTTTTCAGCTTGGTCTCATCTTGTTTGTTTACTTTGCTTTTACTCTAAGTGCTTTGGGTTCACGTCACACACAAAAGAGAGAAACAAAGAACCAACCACCATGCACCTTTGTCCCACCAGGGTCATGGAGCTGTTTCCCTCTCTTTTAGTGTTAGTCTTTAGTCTATCTTGAGGAGTTCACTTTTGAGTGTGGGTCACAGACTTTAGAAGTTTTGGCCTGTCATTGTCACATTGACACTCTATGAAAAATGGTATTTTATTATTAATTATTAGTATTATTAGTATTTCTCAGCAACATTTACTTTTCAGTGTATAGATCTTATACACCCTTTGCCAAGTTTTTCTTAGGTTATAGACTATTTTGATGTTATAAGTGGCATTTTATTTTATTTTAGGCAGAGTTTCATGTATTCCATCCATTATGTACCTAAAGTTGATGTTGAATTTCTGATTCTCCCGCCTCTACCTCCCAAGTGCTGGGATTTCAGGGGTGTGCTACCACATTCAATTTTATGTGGTGCTGAGGATCAAACCCAGAGCTACATGCAAGCACTCTACCAATTAAGCCACTCTACCAGCCCATACATTGTATCTAGAAATTCTAATTTCTGATTACTTGTTGCTAATGTATAGAAAAACAATAGACTTAGGGATGTTCATCTTGTATCCTACAATTAGAAAATTGATCTGTGAGAATTTTCTATGCAAATGAACAAGTTATCTGTGAATAAAGACAGTGTACTTCACCTATCTCAAAAATGATGTCATGCCATTGCTACAATAGCTACAATAAAAGCGATGGTCACAGGGTTGGGTATGCACCTCAGTAGTACAGCCCTAACTGAACATGCACAAAACCCTGGGTCCCAGCTCTAGCATAAAATAAAACATAATCCTGTCTCTTGGAAAACAGCTTGTTAGTCTCTTTAAGACCAGTAGCAACCACCAAAGTAACTAGAACAGAGCTGCTGCCAGCAGTGTTGGTAAAGCCAGAACTAGATATAAAGGAACCACCTGCCAGCCAGTGTATACAGTATCCACACTACAGAGCAGCGCTCAGCATTCAGTTAGTTACTGGCTGCCTGGCTCTGAGAGACAAGAACAGAGAGACAGACAGAAAACTGACTTTTATAATTGCCACATTATTTTAAATATCCCGTTTTCAACAAAAACTTAGGGGCAAAAAAAAAAAAAAAAAAGGCTCCAAATCCAGAAACAGAGCACTCAGTAACTCAGTACCTATGTCCCAAGAAGCCTACACTGTACTTGCTGGACAGCCTTTGCATCATCTTGTTCATTCCCTTTTCGTTAGCATATGGTACTAGTGTAAAACTAGTGAGTCTCATCCATACATGTTACACACCTAAACCCCAGCATTCAGGAGGCAGAGGCAAGTGGAGCTCTGAATTAAAGGCCAGCCTGACCTTGAGTTCCAGCAGAGCCAGGACTACATACACAGAGAAACTGATTCAAAAAACAAAAATAAATAAATAATAAAGCAAAACTAGTTTTGAGGATTTTACTACGCATTTTCTACATATATAATTTATTGCTATTTCCCGATTACATGTAGTTTTCCAGAGAGTACAGCCATCTGAAAAAGTATCACAAAAACAAACAAACAAACAAAACTACTGAGCTAGACAAGCTTGGTAGCATATGGTTTTAATCTTAACACTCAGGAGCAGAGGCAGAAGGAACTCTGTGAGTTCAAGGCGAGCCTGGTCTATACAGCAGGTTTTGGAAGAGCCAAAAGTAGAGAGACTACTTAAAAAACAAAACAGAAACTACTGAGCTACATTATTACTTAAATACCACTGAAGTCAGTGCTAAGAATCAGAAGTTAGGTGTTTTTCTCCTTGACTTTTTTTTTTAGGTTGAGTGGCGGACACTTTGGTCTGCCTTCTTCCCCTAAAAACATCATCCACCAACTTGCCATTCCCTGGCCTACCATTCACCTCCTGACTCTAAACCTCTCTCCATTTAAGAACACTTCCATGGAAGCACAGCTCTGACTTTCAATCTTGTCATGCATTTTCTCAGAGATGATCCTTAGTTTACTGGCAATTCCTTTAAACCAAACTACTTTCGGTCTCTGCCAGTGGTTGGATATGAAATGTTCTCTAAAAAAGGCTCACTGAAGGTACATCCCCACTGCTGCTGCTGTCAGAGGAGGCTCAGAAAACTTTAGATGGGTGTCTAGCTAGAGGAAGTGGGCCATGTCCTTGAGAGAACATACCCTGTCTGGGACCCTTTCTCTTTCTTTTCCTTGTAAACCATGAGACAAGCATACTGTCCTGTGCTCCTGCAGCCATGATGCTCCAAGAGAATTATGGGCCGAAACCTCTAAAATCATGAGACAAAACAAATAATTCTTCCCTTTACGTTATTCTCTCAGTATTCTGGTCACAGCTCATGTGAAACTAGCCACACCTCAGACTCAATCTACCTTATAATGACAATTACCAAGTACTCAACAAATGCTTTTGGGTTCTGCAAATAAACTGAGGCAATACCCACCTCCTTATTTATTAGGATGCCTATTAGTATTATACATAGAAAACTGTTAACAGCCTTCATCAAAACAGAACTATTCCAAGGGCACTCGAGAGTCACCCTGGCCCCAGCGGGGCTCACTCTGAAGCACTTACATTATTATTGTGCAGGTACTCAATTGCTCGAAGGATCTGGAACAGGTACTTTCTCAGCCGCTTACTCTCTAGTCCGTGACAGTAGTGCTGTAGCTCATCTAAGACTGTGTGGTCAATAAATTCAAATACCAAGTGAATTTTCTTTTTTTGTCTAAAAACTTCAATCAGATTGACCAGGTTTTCATGCCGAAATTGCTATTGACAAAAGAAACAAGACTTTTAAATAAAATTGTTTCAAATAGTAATTCATACAAACACCTATATGATTTTGAAATGAAACAAAACCAGTTTCAGTTTCTTTTCTTTCAATAGAATGTCTCAACTGGTTTGGCACATTTTTAATGTGTAAAAATTACTGTGACTTCTTGCTCTCCATAGAAAAAGGTGAGATGTTGCCATCTGATTGCTTATTACAATAATTTAGAACTAGTGTACCACAATGCAATGAGAAATGTCTTGCTTTATTTTAATTTGGTTTGTACTTAACACATGACATTTAAAAGGACTTTATGAGTTGGGCATGGTGGCATGGGCTTTGAATCCCAGCACTTGAGAGGCAGAGGCAGGCCAATCTCCAGGAGTTCAATGCCAACCTGGTGGACAAAGGGAGTTCCAGGCTAGGCAGAGCTACATTGAGACACCCAGGCTCAAACAAAACAAAAACTAATAATAAAGTAAAATGCACCTTGTTTCATGTTGGCTATTGTAGTTGTTTTTATTTTTAGAGACAAGGGCTTGCTATGTATCCCCTATCCCAGAATACACAACCTTTCTGTCTCATCCTCTGGAGTGCTGGGATTTGAAACATGAGCCACCACACTCAATGTGCAGTTATTTTGTGTTCTGGAAACTGAACTTGGGACCATCTCCCATGCTGAGCTGAGCTGGACCTAGCCACTGAGGTCCTCATGCTTCATGGCCTTTTAGATGCTTCATGTATAAGTGTTGGTCTGCATCTATGAATGCACACCATGTGTATGCCTGGCGCCTCCAGAGATCAGAAGAGGGTGAAGTTAGATCTCCTGGAACTGGACTCAAGGCTGGTGGTGAACCACCATGTGGGTTCTGGGAACAAACCTGGAACTTCTGTAAGAACAAGGGCTCTAACCACTGAGCAATTCTCAGTCCCAAGCATGGACTTCAACATCGTAAAGATTACTATATTTTTACACAACTTATTCAACTTTTGGTCTTAAACTCCAGAGGATAAGCTATAAGTTCTAGGGGTCATTTATGAATCTACTTGATAATAAAAAGAGTATCAAAATGTTTAAAATACCTGCAAACATGTGAAATGACATAGAAATGACACAGATATACATGTATGGTTTTTTATTCATTGTCTATACTACAATTCTACTAAACAACAAAACACCCTTTGTTTCAGCTTCTTGGGAAACTGAAACAGGAAGATGAATCTGAGGTCAGCCTGGACAACACAGTGAGACCCTCATTTCATACAATCAAAAATTAATTTTAAAAACAAAAAAATCCTTTTTGTACTGGTATGAACATGGTTAAAAATTTTAAGGAGTTGAAAAGATGGCTTAGTGGAAAAAGTACTTGTAAGTGCAGGTAAGCCAGTCATGGCAGTGGGCACCTGTAACTAGCACTGAAAAGGGTGGATGGAGATGGGTAGATGGAAGGGTGGCTCACTGCTCAGCCAGCATAGCTCAGTCAGTGAGCTCCAGATTTAGTGAGATTCTATTTAAAAAAAAAAAAAGTAAGAAAGAGTGATAAGAGGCAGACAGCCATTATTGATCTCTGACCTCCAGATACTCATGTACGCCTAAGCATGTACACATATATTCCACATAAACATATACACAAATAATTTTAAAATGTCAAAAAATTGCTATGTATCTGCATAGTAAACAAATGAAGCTTAATATTTTTTGTAGTTTATTCTATTTTTCAATCTATTATCCTTACTACAATAAATTCTGAAATATTTAACCATTTTAGTAAATAAAAAAAATATTTACTAACTTGGATAAAAATGGGTGTATTTTAGTATTAGTCTCATTAGCAAACTGTAATTTTTCATATTGCTTTTATTCCAGTGGCACAATGTCAAGTTTTCTACTTTCTTGTGGCCAACAGAGACTAAAATCCTTGAAATATGACTAGTAGAAAACTGTGCCAAAATACAATGCCAGATTCCTTCCTTCTTTTTGCTCTTAGTTTCTGTGTTTAGCAAGAAGCCCCAGTGTGATGCTCGGCACTGAAACCCTGACAGCAGAGGAGACAGTGAAGGGTGAAGACCCTGGAAAACCACATGAATGGCCCACCTCGGGCAAACGATTGGCTTCCTGTCTGCCCTGCATATGTCTGTGTTATGTGTGCATGCCTGGTGCCTACCTTTGGAACTGGAGTTACAAATGGTTGTGAGCTACCATATGGGTGCTGGGAATTGAATCCAGGTCTTCTACAAGAACAAGTGCTCCTAACACGAAAGCCACATTTCCAGCTCTTAGTCTTTAAAAATGAAACAGTTGAGCCAGTAGGGAGCCAGGGGTGGTAGCATTTGATCCCAGAGATTGTGAGGCAGAGGCAGGCAGAGCTTTGAGTTTGAGGCCAGCCTGGCGAACAAAACGAGTTTCCAGGACAGCCAGGGCTACACAAAGAAACAGCAGACAAGTTCACTTTAAATGTACTTGATTATATTTTTCTCTATTACTAGACAACATTTCCACAGATATTCTAACTGTTCTATTGGTTGTTTAATGAGATTCTAAAATTTAGTTAAAATTGAGTTGTTTGGGCAATCATTTTAGGTTAAGAATATTAACAAATGTAAGAAATCTCTTACTAGATTATGTTAGATTGGAAAGTCGTGAGTGGTGGCATATGCCTGGAATCCTAGGATTCCAGAAGCTGAGGCAGAATGAGGAAGAGTTTGATCTAGCCTGGGCTACACAGTGAGTTTCAGGCTAGTCTGGACTATGCAGTGACACTTTGTGTAAAGGAGGAGGAGGAGGCTGGAGAGACAAAGCAACAGTTCTGAGCACTGGCCACTCCTCCAGAGGACTCTAGTTCTTTTACATTTATTGACTATTTTATGTGTAAAATTCACTATTTCACTTGCATATATGTCCATACACCAGGTTCAGTCTGATGCCCAGGCTGATGTCAGAAGAGAAAATCATATTTCACCCTATGGGTTCTAGAAACTGAATCTAGGTCTTCTCAAAGAACAACAAATGCTCTTAACTCTGAGTCAGCTCTCTACTTCCTAGAGCTCTGGTCTAAACCCTCAGGCTCAGAGCCATCTCTAACTCCAGTTCCAGGGAATATGATATCCTCGTCTGTCTTCTGTGAACACTCATGAACATGGTACAAAGACATATGTGCAGGCAAGACACCCAGACACATAAAGTAAAGTATTTTAAATCTAAAGATGTTTTAAAGGAAGAAATGTAGGGAGAGATTGAAAGCAGTTGGATCAGGCCATACAGTCAGTGAGAGTAGTTTAAGTGTCTTGCTAATGGTGTCACATGTCTTTAATCCCAGCACTCATGAGGCAGAGGTAGGCAGATCTCTCTCTCTCTCTCTGTAAGTTAGCAGTTAGTCTGTTCTACAAAGGAAGTTCCAGGGCAGCCAAGGGCTACATAGTGAGATCCTGTCTTAAAAAACAAACAACCACCAAATAAAGTGTCTTAAAATAATTTGCGCTGGGTGGTGGTGGCGCACGCCTTTAATCCCAGCACTTGGGAGGCAGAGGCAGGCGGATTTCTGAGTTCAAGGCCAGCCTGGTCTACCGAGTGAGTTCCAGGACAGCCAGGGCTACACAGAGAAACCCTGTCTCGAAAAAACAAAAACAAAAAAATAATAATTTGCATATACCAGACACAGTACCACATACCTTTAATCTCAGCACTCAGTAGGCAGAGACAGGCAGATCTGTTGAGTTTGAGGGCAGCCTAGTTTACATAGCAAATTCCAAAACATCCAGGGATACACAGTGAGACCCTGTCTCAAATAAGTTATTTGTGTGCATTTAGAACAACAAAATATGTTTTCAGGTTTATCACAGTGTTCTCATCACTCTTGGTTAGTTTTATAAAAATTATTACACAGGGGCTGGAGCTGTCACTCAGCTGGTAGAGTGCTGTCTAGCATGCACACAGTGCTGGGTTAGATCCTTAGCACCACATTAAACTGGGTGGCTAGATGGCTTAAGGGGAACATTTGCTGTCAAGCCTGACAACCTCAGTTCAACCCTTGAGAGCCTTCCAATTTTTGCAAGTTACCCTGTGTCATCTACATGTGTACTGCTGATGTGTATGAACATACACCAAGAAATGTAATTTAAAAATTAAAACAAAGCAGGCAGCCAGGTGGTGGTGGCACACGCCTTTAATCCCAGCACTTGGGAGGCAGAGGCAGGTGGATTTTGAGTTCCAGCCTGGTCTACAGAGTGAGTTCCAGGACAGCCAGGGCTACACAGAGAAACCCTGTCTTGAAAAAAAAAAAACAAAAAAACAAACAAAAAACAACAACAACAAACCAAAGCAGGCATGGTGCTGTGTGTAATCTCAGTGCTAGAGAGGTGGAGGCAGGATGCCCAGCTTACCTAGACTCCCGTCTCAAGGTAAGAAACCTTAATGCACCTAGATTCCAGTGACTAGAAATTTGTATTTGGAGGCTTTTTTCCCTCTGTTTCTCTCCTAGCCTCCTAATCACCTCCTAATTTTATTTCTCACTTAGGGAGAACAGATTCCTGACACTGTTGTTTCATTTCATCAGGCAGGGAATGATGTCTCTTAGAGTACAGAATTATAACATCTTTACTAGCTTTTCATTTTTCCTTCATACAGTCTAGAATGGAGCAGTTCTGTCTACAGGTGCTAGCACAGTATTCTAGTTAGAAGCAAATTGATTTATATTACTTATATTATATAAATATTATTTATATTATATATATGTATATTATCTATATCTATCTATACTGTCTATAATATAGATAAAAAGAAGGAAAACGTTTCATTTGTACAGATAAAGCCGTCAGGAGTAGCTGTGATCTTCATCACATATAGAACACCTAGACTTCAGTCTCAAGGTATGAAACAAATGCACCTTGATTCCAATGACTACAAAATTTGTATTTTGAGGTTTGTTTGGTTTTTTCCCCCAGTTTCAGTCTCTAGCTGTGGACTCCCCAAGATCAGTTCACATTCTTTTTACTGCCTCAGCTCTGTGGCCTAGTAGACCGAGCACGCCTGCAATGCCTTGATACTCCCCAGATACTGTTGCTGTTTGTAAAAGCCTAATAGTCTTCAGTTACATATCCCTGTCACCTCCAAGTCAACATTTCCAAAACTGAACTACTTCTCAACCTCTCTTCCAACTCACATCAGCCACAGTGTTCTCTGGACTCAGGGCATCTCTGACTCCTCCCTATATATTTCTTTACTCTTCTATGTTATCTGCAGTCTATCATTTTAACTTTGTATCTATTTACACTGCTGAATTCTAAAAAAAAAATGCACTCTTGATATTAGCAGCATTATTGAATTAAATTCTTATCAGACTCCCTTAGTTTTCAGTTTATTACATTCTACAGACCACTGCTAAATTAAAGTATTAACTAAAATCTTCACTCTCCATCTCTTTTTTTAAAAAAATCATTTTTGTGCTTTTGAGACAGGGTGTCATGTATCCCAAGCTGGATTGGAACTTAGTATGTAGCCAATGATGATAACAGGATTGATTATATACTCTCAGTTTTATATGGTACTGGGGCTCAAACCTGGGGTTTCAGGCATGCTTGACAAGCACTCTACCAACCTAACATCTCAAACACCCAAACCAAGTTTTGACTTCTTAGCCTAAAACATTTTAAAATCTGCTTCCAATTTACTACACTAATCACACCTCTTTCTAATACTATACAGGAAATTCATAGACAAGTATCTGTTCTTTGTCTTTCTATTCTTGCTCTGTCCTGTTTGAGTCTTTCTGACATTAATGCTGTCCCCTAACCTGGAACTCGGTAGTATCTCCATCCTACCCAAATGCTGCACATCACTCAAGGACAAGTACATACCCTATCTTCTGTTTAAAACAAACAAACAAAAAACAACAAAACAACAAAAAAATCTTCCCCGTCAAACAGAAATCTGTGGAATTTAATAATATTAACCATTAGATAAACAACAAATGAACAAAAAACCTGTGAGGATATGTGATTGTGTGCACATGTCTGCAGGTGTCCCTGAAGGATCCCTGGGTGTTGGAGTTACAGGCAGTTATGAACCTGCTGATGTGGGGTGCTGGGAACTGACTCTAGTCTTCTATAAGAGTAAGTAGTAAGTGCTTTTAACCAGAGAGCCATCTCTCTGGCCCAGCATGAACCACTCTTATTCAGGATTACTTTAATATAGCCTTCTGCATAGTTATGCCACTAAGAAACCTTTTTTTTTTTTTTTCAAGACAGGGTTTCTCTGCCTAACAGCCTTGGCTGTCCTAGAACTCACTCTGTAGACCAGGCTGGCCTTGAACTCAGAGATCCACCTGTGTCTGCCTCCCAAGTACTGGAATTAAAGGTGTGCACCATCACACCTGGCAAAAAAAACCATTTTTTCCTTCTTTCTACTCTTAGCTTTTTCCACAATACCTTGTATAAAGCACACATCCTTATTAAGTATTATACTTGAATAGTTTTGAATGATTTCACAATATTAGCATAATTCTGTTATACACAAGCACACAAATCTTATATCAATAAACAAGTACAGACTGTAGACAATGAGGGTTTCTCTATGACAGGTCTTAGTATATCTGTTAATGGAAATATTCTTTCATAGGTTTTATTTTTATCCCATAACAATTTCTCTTTGACTTACATAATCAAGACAAAAGAAGAGGGGTGTTTCAATGTAGACCTGTAAATCTTAGCACTGGAAAAGAAGCATTCCAAGACACCCTGGACTGCACAGCAAGATAGGTCCCAATGGGAAAAGAATAAAAATATATACAATAAAAGGCAAAAGAAGCAAACCTTTAGAAACTTTATTTCTCTCGTTGCAATTTTGTTGACAGATTTTTCTGGTTTCTCATAGAATATCTTAATGGCCACTATCCGCCCAGTATCCTTATGTTTGCATTTCATGACCGTTCCGTAACTTCCCTCTCCCACTTTTCCAAGGGTTTCATACATCTCCATTTTCAAGCCTGGCTTCTACTTCACAGAAATAAAGAAAGAAAATGTTAAATGTTCACATTTTCAATTATACAAACTGGATAATGCATAGAGATAACCCCCTACTTTCGGATATAAGAACAAAAAACTAGAAGTGCTGACTACAGCAGAGCCTGTTCGTGGGAACTCTTAAGTTGTCTGAGAAGCTCCAACTTTCACCAGAACGCAGGATGTCCTTCATTAATCTAGCATTTTGTGTAGATTGAGGATTGTGTAGATTGGGGATTGAGAAATAAAAGGGAGGTCTGATACGTATTTAATGCAGGCATTCTTTTAGAATACAGGATTTAGAATATGAGGTCCCCTTTCAGAAACAATGGAAGCCAAGCTAAAAAGTCCCACCAACAAACACTGTGGGTTTCTTGTTAGAGGCCACGGTCCACCAAGCGTGGGGACCCCCACCTCAGCACTACAGTCACCCATCCGTCCTGCCCCCTCCTCAAACACGCAGTCTGTGCAGCCCCAACCCAAATGGCCCGTCTCGCGGCGCTGTCGACCTCGTCCTGAGAACCGCCGCCGCCTCAGCCCATCCTGTAGTCCCGCCGGCCCGGCTGCGTGGAAGTCCCAGCCGGCCACGGGACACCACACCTCCTCTCCTGGCCGACCTTGCCCGCTCCGGGCAGCCCGATGCCCTGGCAACGGGGTGGGGGCGGGGCCCTACCGAGTTCGGAGCCCAGTACGCAAGACTGGAAATCGCTGGGGTCCTGACCCGGAAGGGAAAGTGACACGAAGCGGAAGATAGATGCAAGAGGATGGGGGAGGGATGTAGGAGGCCCGCGTGCTTGCAGGTGGTGGTGGTGGGGATAAGGGACAGCGGGGCATTTTATAGCAGAATGAACGCCCTTGAGGCTTTCGCCCTGCAAGAGAGCGGTGTGTCACTTGGGTGATTGCTGGGTGATTGTTGTGCCCGGTTCTAGGAAGTTGACGGAGATAACTGATCTAAGGAAGACTTACGGGGCTACAGTTTGCCAATGCTGCATTAATATTCCATACAACCAATTTCGACCTAAAAGTCGACATAATCCTTAAACCAGGGACAAGATGGTTCTTGGGTAGAGGGCTTAGCTCAGTGGTAAGCCACATACTCAGCATTCGCCACTCCCCTGACTTTTTTCTAACACCAATTCTGTACACATTTTCAGTTTCCAATTACTATTGTTTTCCAATTACTAGCAATCCTTTTTTTGTTTTGAGACAAGGTCTACTATATAGCTCCGGGGGACTCACCATGTATAACACCAGGCTGGCCTCAAACTCTCATCTGCCTGCTTAGAGTGCTGTGCTGTGCGCCACCATATCTGGCCCTAGCAGTACTTTTAAAGTTTTCTCACGACGTGTGAAACCCAAAACTTTTTAGGAAAACAAATAATTCGCCAGACTCTGCCACAGACTGAGTGATGTACAAGGACGCCTCGGAATATACATTTAAATAACCTGCAGAGCTTTTTAAAGGGCTCCATTTTTAGAGATCTTGATTTAACTGTAGTAGCAAAACTAGGTCAATGAAATTCTCGGTAGGAAAAGGCTATGAAGCCAAATGTTGAGTTCAATCTCTTGGACCTACATGGTGGAAAGAGAACCAACTCATTCCAAGTTGTCGTGTAACCTATATACACAAATAAATGAACGTGCACAAGAAGTGTACTGAGTAGTGTAAAAAAGAAACTAGTTTGCTTTTTAAAAGAAACAGTTTAGAAGCATTTCAAAGTTTGTTACTAACAGAGCTTTGGAGCTTGAAAGTAAAGAGGGAAGGGTAATTGGTTTGGATTTTTTTTCTTTTCTCTATAAATAAGAATGCCATAGTTAAGTCTTACAATACTATGAGACCTGCTATATGTTTACTTAATATTTGTTATGAACTAAATATTTGCAAGGAGCGAAACACAAATTACTGAGTCTCTGCCACCACAAATTAATTCACAATCCTAGCGCTCAGGAGAGAGGAAGTCAGAGCTACGTGAGATTGAGGCCAGCCTGGTCTACATAGCAAGTTCTAGACCAGCCTGAACTACACATACCCTGTTTTAAAAAGTGAAATTATAGTTCTAAGATTGCAGTTGTAGGTTTCCAGCAAGCCTCCTGGCCATGAAATTGTGTGGATTTTGTTAACATTTTGCCCTCTAATACTTTTGGGAAGCACATTCAATTTATCAAAACATTTCGTTTTGGAAAAAAAAAAACCTATCCTGTCCGTTTTTAAAAGTAATAAATTGCAAGATAAGCGACAGAATGAAAATTTTAAAAAAAAGTCTTTTTACCATTTCATTGTATATATTCCACACACACTTGTCTTCTTTCTTGACCATGTGGAGGAAGATTAGGATTGTTATGGCTGGGCAGGAAGAAAAAGCCAAGGCACTTGTTACCTATCCCAGCTACTCAAAGAGGAGTTGAAGGCCGGCCTAGGGGATTTAAAGAGACCGTTTTTCCCCCCAAGACGAGGTCTCTCCGTGCTCTAGGCGCGGTGGTGCTCTAGTGTAGACCTCTAGTCTCCACCTACCTAGTGCTGGAGTTGCTCTTGGGCACTACCTCTTGCTCAATAAAACTTTCCAGGGCTTACATAAGACCCTGAGGTTCTATCGAGTACCTCAAAAAGAAGAAACGGAAAGATGAGAGTATTTAACTTTTAGCTTAGTCACATTGTGAGGACACAGCAGAGGCTAGCAAGCGTTAGACATACTTGACAATCCTCAAGGTTACCTTTTTGCGGGGAGGGATGAAGACTCTCAGGCTGCCCAGGGCGGCGGCTATCATCCCGCTTCACTGAGGCTAGCCTTACATTCCTGATCCTTTCCACTTTCCGAATGGTGGGATTAGCAGGATGCACCAAGACGCTGGCTTCTCAAGGTCATTTTAAACCAAGAGAATTGTTTGAAGAAAGGAGGGATAAGGACAGGGGAAAAGGTTAACCCTTCCTGGTTTCATGGAACTTTGAGAAGGAGTAGAGCAGTGGTCTCATGCTCTTCCCCCTTCTAGAGCTAAAGAATTCCGCAACTACTACACTGTTCCGGTCCCTAGAAGAAATCCTCAAAACAGGACTAGAAGCTGAGCACGGGAATTCCAGGAGCCTGCAGGGATGGGTGGTGGTGGTGAATGCTTCTGAACCTGCTGCAAATCACCACCCACCACCACCATGCACCTCTGGTCCATTTGGCCCCTCTTTGCTATTGTTCAAAGCTTGTAATGAGCTACCTCAGACTCGAGCTATAACTCCCACCCGTGTCTGCACGATCTCTCCCCCGATCTGAATCATTTTTGTAGGTTTCTTTGACAACCAGCAGCCCATTGATATGTTCTAAAATCACACCCACTCATTTCTTGAGAAATACAATTGTGCCCCACCACAGGTAAATTCACAGATTCTAATTCAAAGACTCCATAGATGGAGTCTTTAAGGCTTGGGCAATCTATTCCGCTCTCATTTCTGTATGGACTCTAAGTATGGAAATCCCATTAGCAGGAACAGCTATTGATCCAAATGCCCTTAATCCCATCTCATTTGCACCGACCATAGCATTCAAAGCTGTTCATTACAAGGCTTTGTCACACTTTCAGTACCTGTCCCACCTACCAGAGTTGCTAAGCCACTTGAAACAGAATTAAGTCCAGATTTTTTGTTCCGTTTTAAAGACTCAGAACGCAAGCGGCTCCTTCCACAATGTCTCCTTAATGCAAAGTCCCAGTACCTTGGGACCAAAAGAATAATATATGACTAGAGGTGTCTACTCCTTAAACTCAAGGACCTGCTTTGTTAGATCTGAAACCGAGAGCCAGGCTAGGCCGTCACGTGACTTGTTCTGATGGCGTCACAGGCACACGTGGTTCTAGATACTTCGCTCCCTCCCCCTCAGGGGTGGATTGTTGACAACGCCGCTAGCGGTCACGTGACCTGACGTCATCCCACCTCCTCTCCCCCGAAATCTCAGGCTCCGGATGCACCACTCTCTCCCGGTCCGGCCGAACTTGAAACTAGCGACGGGGGGAGCGAGGCAAGGTAGCGTGTGGGCTCCGTTGCCGTTGGGCCGGCCGTGGCCAGCGTGAGCACGGAGCGGACCGTCCGCTGTTCACCACAAGCAACAAGCCCGGAAGACGGCCGCCTGCGCCTCCAGTGCGGCGCGCGCGCCCGCTCGCCCCGCCCCCTCTCCCCTCCACCCGCGGTGGTACTGGCGGAGGGCGGAGGGATCTGGAGGCGGCGGAGGGAGACGTCATTGCAGGGTTGTTTGTGCAGTCTCGGTGGCGGCGGCGACCCACAGTGATTCGGCCGCTGCGCCGGGGGGTGGGGGGGCCGAACGGGACTCTTTTCTTTCAGACTGACCGCGGGGCAGCTGCGGAGCATGTCGACCCCGGCCCGTAGGAGGCTCATGCGGGATTTCAAGCGGTAAGGGCCCTCGTCTTAACCCAATATGACGGCCTCTTCCCGAAGCCAGGAACTGTAGGGCGGGGATTCAGGATAGCTTCCCCTGGTGACCCTGAGGAGGCGGGCTGTGGCCTCCGGGACCTGCGGCAGCCCCGGCTCACTGGCGGCTTTTACTCTCTCGGTTCATACCTTCCTCTGTCTGAGTAAAGGTGGTCGGTACTACAGCCTCCTGCCCTCCCCCCCAAAAAAGTAGGAAGGTGGCCATCGCTGGGCCTAGGTGTCCCAGAGGCCCACCTAGGCCAGATGCAGGCGCTTCACCTCCCGCCTCTGCACCCTGCGGCGTCCCCTCCCCAGGTGATGCGGGTGAGCTGCTCCTGAGGCTCGGGCCTCGCCTGGCGGACCAGTCCAGCTTTGTTACAGGGCCTTCTGTTTGTAGCGGGGTTGGGGTGAATACTGCCCCAAATCTCTTTCCTTTTCTGCAGTGGTGAGGGTGGGGTCTGCTGCGCGAGGTCCGGAGGTGGTTAGCCCATCCCCCGAAACCCGATCTGCCCCCGCCCACCTGGAAGGACCTTGAGAACTGGCTCGGGAAACCTGGGCCTGGAGCTAGCCACTCGAGCTGCCAGTGTCTTCTGGAACTAAGATCTGGCTGCTGAATAAAGGCCTATCTATAGCCTCCCCAGCCTGGAAAAATGCCTTCCGTCAGACTGGAGCTAATTTGATACTCCACCTGGGCCACCTTTTGGAAAATAGGGGTTTATAGGAAATGAGGGGCTTGAAGGAAGAAAATGACCTCTTCCAGTTGTTTACCTCTCCTTGGAAACGTACAAGTGCAGAAACAGTGACTTGAAATCCAGCGACAAGATACTCCTGAGCCTTCTTCCTGGGCAGATCTGCTGTGATTGAGACAAATCTGTAATATAAAAACTTAGATTTGCCTCTCAGGACGCAACCGCTCAACTTTGCCATTATAAAGCCTTTATGAGGCACTTGGAAGCTATTGTCTTGAGCCCTGGACAGCTTCATCATTTAATTTGTTGCAGATTTTAGCCACTTAAAATTGAGGAATCAGGCAGTAAGTTTGTTCCTCTCAGCCCTGTTAGTGGCCTAACCTGCTTGAGCTTGACCAAACAGTACACTTTTTATGTGGACTAATTTATGTCCACTTAAAAATCATGACATACTTTGTGTGGTTGACAGGTTTTGTGTTTTTTTTTTTATTTTCGTTTGTTTGTTTGTTTTGTTTTTAATGATCTGACAGACAAGGAGATGCCCTTTTTGGTCAAAAGTCACCCAAGGCTTGAAGTCACTATATTTGATTACCTCTGTAACTGATATGCAAATAAAACTTCCCATTACGGATTACTTCCCATTACGGATGGCCCATCATCCGTTATTTATCACTTGTTCATTTTTGGAGTTTCTGTACTTGATTCCCGGTTGAATACAAGGTGCCTTTGGTGGCTTTCCAAGGATCTTGAGGTTACGTGAAATTGATGATGACGTCTGTTGAAAGCATTGTATGAAGGCCTGAGGTAGATTTGGCCTGAGAGCAGAGTCTTTAAAATAGAGACTGCTGGTAGAGCTAGCTGGGGCTTCTGGCTACTTGAGAAAGCCACTGTCTGAAGCACATGCCATAAAGTGAGACTTGCTCTCTAGCTAAATTGAATATGTTTTTTAGTCATTTAGTATATAGAAATTTCCTACGTTTTTGTGGTGTGCAGTGTCTGTAGTTAGGACTGAGGATCCTTTCATGATTAAGGTAGGAAAAGTGTAGGTTTTTGTTTTGTTTGGTTTTTGTTTTTAATGGGTCAAGAGAGCAGTCTGGAAATGAGTTTTTTAAGAAACCATATCTTGTTGTTTGGAGAAGGATGATCTCTTAGCCCTTTGGACTTAGAGATCACTGGTAATATTAATGTATTAATAAGTATATTAACCTGGTTGATTCATTTAAATCGTAGCTCATTTCAGCTCCAACAGTAACAAGTCAGTCTAACCCCCTCTCTCAGAATAGGTTCAGTAGAATTGAACCTCACTGACCTTTATATTCGACTCTGAAAATGACTACTGTGGATTTCTAGATTGCAAGAGGACCCACCTGTGGGGGTCAGTGGTGCACCATCTGAAAACAACATCATGCAGTGGAACGCAGTTATATTTGGGTGAGTTGAATTAGGGATTGCTGAGGAAAAGTAAGTATATAAGCAACAGGGAAAGAGGCTGAGGTCGAGTGAAACTCACTTGAGGGGGGTAGGGGCAGTTTTCTTGAGAACCCTGAGCCTCCTGTATTCCCAACAGTAAGCTGTATGCCCAGCTCCTGAAACATTTTATTGAGTCTGGGACAGTTATATAAAATTGGCCTGCTCCTTGCTGTTATGTTTAATTTGGTTTCTTTCCCTTGAGCCAAGGTGTTGCTGTGGTGCTCGGGGTGATTTTGAACTGGGCTGAAGCGATCCTCTTGCTTTAGGCCCTCTGGAGTAGCTGGGATTGTGGGAGTGTGACACTGTACCTGGCTATGGTATGGTTTTATGGTCACTCCAGGTAACTAACTGATCCTAGGGTCTGAAGGCTCTGGGTGAAGCTGAGTGGTGGAATGCTTGCCCTCCATGCCTATAGCCCCGGGCTTGATCCCCAGCACTAAGAAGTCAATACTTGACATTCAATGGGCTGATAAAGGACACGAGGTAAATCATCTCACATGAAATGTGCCGTTCACGTGTTTATACCCATACTGTTGGAGCCGTAAAAACACTTGGAATCAAAAGGACTGAAAACTTTGCTGTGACACGAATTTCAGCTAAAAATCATACAGCCCATTGAGAAGCCACTGAACGAAGTGGTTTTACTTTGGGAGATGCTGGGGTTGGATCCAAGCATCTTAACACATTGTAGGCAGATGCTCCATCACTGGGCTTCACTCCTAGCTCCTTTGAAATTTTATTGAGATGAACTCTTGACAAGAGTAGGGTTCAGCCCTTAGATCCAGCACTTGGAGGCTAGGGTGCAGGCTGCCTAGTGGGGCCCTGTCTCACAAAAACAACAAAAAAGATGTCCATGCATTTTTCAGACTGTCCTCAAACTTAGGATCCTCTTGCCTCAACATCCCCAGTGCTGGGAACACAGGCATGGGCCACCACATTCAACACCTTTTAAGTTTTTATTATTTGCAAGTGCCCACCTGCTGGCTGCCTGCCTGACTGGCTGCCTGACTGACTGACTGTGTGAGTAGGTGTCTGTAACCCACAACACTCAATATAGAGGTAAGATGAGAGCTGTTTAGTCATTTCTCTCTCTCCATCATGTGGTCAAGAGACAGTATGGCTAGTGCTTCTACCTGCCACACTATCTTCCTAGCCCAGCATATCCTTTTTGATTTAAAACTTAAAAATTTATTTTTGATAGTGTGTTTATCTACGTATGGGATTTTGGGAGTTTGCCACTGCAGCTAGTTATGGTATGGTAGGATTTTACAGTCAGCCCAGGTAACTGATTAAAAACTAGAGTTTGAAGGACACGTGTACAACAGAGCAGGAGCCTATGAAAGCCAGAGGCGGGCGTCTGATTCCCTAAAGTTGTAACGCCCCTGACGTGGGTACTGGAAACCAAAATCCTGTAAGAGTTTTTTCAAGTACTCTTACTCAGTAGGCTGTCTTAAAAGAGTCTACATTTGTAACTAGTGGGGGAGTAGAAGTGTAGTTCGCTCAGTTGGTAGAGTGCTTGCCTAACATTCTTGGAGTCCTAGTTTCAACCATCTGTAATCATAGCCCCTGGAAAGCTGAGGCAGAAGGATCACAATGTAGAAGCCAACCTGGGCTATTTATTTAGTAAGACCTTATCTTAAGAAAATCAAAATAGGTAGGTAATCTGACTCATACTTAATAAATCCTAGCACTCAGGAGTCTAAGGCAGGAGGATTGCTGCAGTCAGGCAAGCCTAGGCTGTGATACCCATGCCCCCCGCTTTTTTTTCCCCCCTTTGTATCTCTGTTGCACCATCCTTTTTAAAATTTTAGTTTGAGATGGTCTCACCAAGTTAGGCTGGCCTAATACTGTGTGTCTTAGGTAGTCATCAAACTTCAACATCCCCTTGCTTCTGCCTCCTGAGTATCTGGGAGTACCATGCCCCCTTGTAGATTCTTGGGTTTTTGTTTGTTGGTTTTGGTCTTGAAAACAAGTTTCTCTGTGTAGCCTCTAGCTGTCCTGGAACTCACTCTGTAGCCCAGGCTGGCCTCAAACTCAAGATACCCGCCTGCCTCCTCCTACCTAGTGCTGGGATCAAAGGCATGTGCCACTATACTTGGGTGTGCGCTGGCACACTGGGCTGTACTGTATTCTTTTTGCAACAAAGTCATAGACGAGTTTCCTTTCAAAAAGAACTTGAGCATTGAGAGTCCTTTGTGCTGCCTGAGTTTAAGCCAAGGCTATATGGCGGTCTGACTGGTAATGTCTGCGCAGCTCTCAGACAGCAGGGGGAGTGCAGTCCTTCCTAGTTCCCCAGCTTATCCTTCCCTCCCTGAAAACAGAAAGAAGAATAAAAAACTTCTTTTAATCAGAGATCTTTTTGTTTTCAGACCAGAAGGGACACCCTTTGAAGATGGTAAGTAATTCTTATTATCTACATATTAAAAGGGTGCCCTTTGGTCAGAGACTCTAACAAACATTATTTGAAGACAGGCTCTATTCTTAACAAGCTCTTTGGGTGCTAAGCTAACTAAGAAAAGTTAGAGTTCTTGAGGATCTTTTTTGCAGGTCATCTTGGTCACCTACCAGCAGTTTCCTCTGTGACATGGGATGCCTATAGAGCACTGTAGGTCTAAGTGGGTCTGTTACAAAATAATTTCTATTTGGACGGCCTAATAGAGGGTGCTCCCTGGGTACTACCAAGAGGGTAATTGTATTTCCTTGCTTTATTATCTGCATTGATAAGGGTCTCATGATAAAATTTTTCATTTTTTTTCCCCGAGTGCTAGGGATCAAATCCAGAGCTTGGTATGTTACAGGCAAGCACCCCACTGCCATGCATCCCCGAGTCCTGAATCCACAGTTACCAGTAGCTTCACTACTCAGCATTTAGCTCCCAGAAACACTGCAGTCATTGCGTCTCAAGTTGGGTCTATCTAACACAAGCAAGGAAAATGGGAGGATGGTTCTAATCTGTAATCACAATTAAGTTTACCAAATTGACTTTAAGCAGGTACTGAAAGATTTTCCCTAATTATAGTGGATTTTAAAAAAATTAAACAGCTTTGCTGTAATTATCAGAATGGCTTCAGAATTCATCTGTTCAGCATATTTGACAAGAATAATTACTGTGAACTATTTGTGAGGGGACCTGAAAGCCTGAGAAGCAAGTGGTACCATACATGGATTCCGGAATCTTCACACCTTTGCAGAATAGTAAGGCTGGTCTGGATGTAGGTCTTTAGACAAAAGTGCTGTAGAATAACTTAGTGTCTATATATTTGAGATGGATCTCACTGCAGCCCCTTGTGTAGGTCTAGACTCACAGAAATCCTCCTACCTCTGCCTTCCAAGAGCTAGGACTATCCTCTTTCTTACAAAGCATGTATGCACGTGTAGGGATACATGCCACACTGTCATCTTACTTATTTCTAGGTAGTCATGAGGAATCCCAGGAGCTACTGAAAGATTGTAGCAAAATTTTTTTAACTATCTCAGGATTTCTCAGTTGTGGTCCATTCCCAAACCTTTCAGAATGTCTTGAGTCCACCTCCCCCCCACCCCCATTCAGGAGACCGTGTGGTCATCTTTATACCAGTATCATATTTACCTTTGCATTGCTGGTACAAAAAACCAGCCTAACTAAGCTAGATCTGTACCTGGTTGAGCACCCAAGAACAAGCTGAGAGTGTGGCCCACACTGTGCTTGCTAACAGTTGCTGTGTTCTTTGCATGTTTTATAAAAGGACTTGGTGATAGTTGAAATTGCTCATGTCATCACATTTAGACCTCTTGGTCTGTTCCTTATTATTCTGCGTGATGAAGGAACATCAGAAGTACTTCCACAGCTGAGTGAGCTGGAGCTTGGGCTGCTGGTTTTTTCATGAAATGTGTTTTCTTGAAAGAATGACTAACAGGCCTAGAGTAGTAGCTAGGTGTAGAGTGTGTGCCTGGCATGGCCTTGGGTCTGGTCTGTAGCATTGTCAAAAAAAAAAAAAAAATGACAACACTTCAAAGTAGAGCAGTTAAGCTCTGCTGTACTTTACATTTTTTATTTCTGTATATTTTTTTGAATAATATTAAACCTGTAATTGCGTACAGAGAAGTGGTTTTTTTGTTTTTGGGTTTCTTCCCGGTGCTCCATTACAACAAATCTTTAAAGAAAAAAAGCTTGTGCAGTATCAGGCCAGTCTAGTTATCTGAAAAGGGCTGTGAAAATTCTCTTCAGTTACGTATTGTGTGAGACCATATTTTCTTTGTGTACTGTACATCAACCAAAGAACATATTGTAACAGATTGCATGTAGATAAGAGAACCCAACTGTCATCTTTAAACCAAACGTGGAGAACTGTATAAATGCAAAACAGTGGTGTGCTTGTCACTAGCAAGTCTTTAAGCATGTTATTTAGCATGTCTCTTAAGTATATTATTTAGGTTAATGTATAGTAAGGCTCAGTTACTTTTTGATAAATTGGAGGATTTTCTCAGGTACCCCGTCTTGACAGCTAGAGAATGACCCCAGGTGTGCCAGGCTCGCACTCTCCACTGAGCTGCCATTGCCCCAACCCCTTTCTACTTTATTTTGAGACATGGTCCTGCAGAGTTGCTGAAGTTGGCCTAGAACTTGAGGTCTTGTCTGAACTACCCGAGTAGCTGGGGTTACAGTATTTCCTATGCATCCCACCCCAGGCTTTTCATCTGCTCGCTATGCAAGTGTTCTGTAACTGAGCTACGTCCCCAGCTGTCAAGTTAACAATTTTTGGTACAAGTACCAGTAGGTTATTGGAAGCAGTTTGTACTGAAACTCAAGAGCCAATAAATCTCAGCTGTGTGAATCTCAGATTTTTGCAACCATTATTTTAATTAAATGCTATTTTTAAAAAACAGTTTTGGAAATCAGAAAGTGGTAATATTCAGACCGCCTCTCGGTTTCATGAATCTACTTCTTACCCATCGTGGGACTAATACTGCTAAGTGGTCCTGAGAACAAAAGCTCAACTGCCTCACACGCTTTGTATGTAGTCCAGCTGTTTCTATAATTGCAAAAATGAAAATGTAAACTTGAAACACAAAGGCTGGAGATGTAGGTCAGCAGAAAGTATGCTTAAGACATCCATAAAGCCCTTGTGGTTTGATCCTCAGCATAGTAGTTAAGGCTAACTTTGTTAACCATCTGTTTCCTCTCTTAATGTGTATGCAGATATGAACAAGGACTTGGTGCTGTTTAGCTTTTATCTTTAACCTTTCTAACCCCAAGTTTCCAACTAATGCAACAACAAAAAGTAACCAAGTGGATTGTTGCAAATCTATGACAAGTGAAGGTGTGAACTAAGTAACTGGTTCTTAGCATGTTCAAATGAAAACTACCTTTCCCATCAGTACTCGCGCCTGAGTTGTCCTTTGCCAGGTGATAGTCAGCTCTCAGAATCCTTTGGCACTCCTCTTTTAATCTATAAATGACCTTCTAGTTCTTTTAAGTGTGTCTTTTTAAAATATTAGTAGCTAGGGCCCAGTTGCCTTCCAAACCTCTGACAATTGGGAGTGGTGAGACAGCTCAGGGTGAAGGAGGTTGACTACACAAACTCTGACAGTCAGAGTTTGAGTGCCAGAACTCAGGTAAAGGAGGGAGGAAAGAACTAACTTGAGAACAAAATTGACCTCTGACCTCCATACATATCCCAGGTGTGTTGCCTGCCTGTCTGCACAAATCATACTAATCAACCAGTTAATCAGATATGACAGTTAACACTTGCATTGCTTGTTCATAGTCTATAACAAGTATGTTAGATGTTTTATATTCTAAATGAGAATTCTCAGGCTAATGAGTGTGGTTATGCAAAATTTGATAATGGAATTAAGAATTATTTAATGAAGACATTTAAAAGCCATGTTTGTCTTTATTGTACTTTGGTTTGTTTTCTATTTAGGTACTTTTAAACTAGTAATAGAATTTTCTGAAGAATATCCAAATAAACCACCAACCGTTAGGTTTTTATCCAAAATGTTTCATCCAAATGGTAAGTAGCAGCCTCTTAGATTCTGTCAGAGATGGGATGAGGGATGGGAGGGTTCGTTCGTCCCCTTGGGTACAGCTTATTCTTAAGACCAGAAGGCTGGTCTTCAAATACTGCTTCCATGCCTGTGTTAGCTACAGTTTCATTGCTAGTATCTTAAGGTTCCATGTGTGAATTAAAGTAATTTAATTACATTTGAATTAAAAGTAATAAACATTTATATGCTTAAAGAACACAAATTTTACCTGAAACTTAGCTTTTAAAAACCGTACATTCAAGCTAGGCGATAGGTAGTCAGGACTTCAAGGTCGTTCTTAGCTACTTAGCAACTTTAAAGCCAGACTGGACTTCATGAGACCCTATCTCCCAAAACAAAATAAAATGGCTCAGTAGGTAAAAAGGTGCCTTCCCACTAAGTGTGACAGCCTAAGTTTGGTCCCCAAGACCCCCATGATAGAACCAGTTCCTGGAGGTTGTCCTCTAATCTCCATGTGTTACTAGAGCACACGTGTACATGTGTGCACACTTAAATGAGTAAAACAGATAAATGATGGGATCTCATAGCCAGGCTGGCCTTCAGGTTGATGTATCCAAGGATGACTTTGAACTTAGGATCGTCTCTGGGGTGCTTATGGGCAGGTGCCACCATGCCCAATTTATGTGGTGCTAGAAATCAAACTAGAAATTTACAAAGTAGGCAGGCACTCTACAGACTGAGCTGCATGCCCAGACTCAGACTGACACACTCATATATGTAACACAATTGCCGTTTTACTTGCCATTCCTGTCTACTTCTTGGTTGGGCGGTTGGTCTTTCAAGGCAGCCTTTCTCTGTGTAGCCCTGGCTGTCTTGGAACTTGCTATGTAGACAAGGCTGGCCATGAACTCAGAGATCTATGAGCCTCCCTGATTACTGGGATTGAAGGTGTGTTCCACCACTGCATTACACAACTACAGCATACAAAAGTACAGCGCATTAAAATTACACAGTTCAGAGTTTGAGTGTAGTCACAGACAGACACAGCAAAACTATGAATGTGGCTGGCTTCCTTTTCTCTTGTGAGGTACAACAAATAGTCTGGGCGCTTTATGTTAGTGGATTCTTAGAGCACACAGCCTTTACTGACTTTTCACCAATGCAAACCTTGGGTCTGTCTCTTGTGATAGTTGTAGCTGTACTTTGTCTCTACTGCTTGGCTTGAATAATATTTTACTGTTTAGATATATTCTGTTTACCTATGGATCAGTTGATGGACACTTAGATGCAAGTTTATTTTTGGCATCTAAAAAAATCAAAACTAGTTCAAAACTTTAAAATTATCAAATGCTTTTTTCTTGTGGTGTGTGTGACATGTAATTCTGTAGGAAAGATGAGAAGTGACTGACTCACACTCAAGCCAGAAGGTCTGCACAGAGAAGTGAGGCCAGGAGGGGCGGGAACGCTGCCCAGAGAGGAGGAATGGGATGGATATTCTCCCCCCCAAACACACACACACATTTTGTCTCCCTCTCCCCCTCCCTCCTCCCTCCCTCTCTCCCTACCTCCTTCTATGGAGAATATCCTGGTTCTGACTTTTTTCAGTTTGGCAATATTTCCAGAAGTGGAACATGCCTGTAATCCCAACACTTGGGAGGTAGAGAGAGGCAGTTAGGATGAGAGCTCTGTGCTGTCCTAGGCTCCATAGCAGACAGACTTCAACTACATGACATTCTAAAGAAGAACGAAGTCCCATTCGTTGGGAGTATCTGTAACACTGGCCTAAGGGGATAAAGTTTTTCAGTGAATGTTGACTTCATTCTTCCGGACTTTTTCTCCCACTGGTGTGTAGCCAGGGCTTTCAGGGATGGGATGTGTGTACTATAAGGGTAAATATCAGCTGTCAGTCTTGGTTGCAAATATTTTGGCATTAATTTTATAAATATCTGTCTTTATTTAGTCAAGGTGAAGTTATTTATATAATTTTTAAAAATCAAAATATGGAGCTACTGGATATAATTTTTAAACTCTTTTTTCAGGCAGAGGCAGGTCAATCTCTGAGTTCAAGTCCAGCCTGGTCTACATAGTGAGTTCCAGGCCAGCCAGGGCTATATAGTAAGACCCTGTCTAGAAACAAAAACTCCTTATTTTTATGGCAAACACAGTAGATAGGTGGCAATTTTGATGACTACCACAGTAATGTTCCTTGAATGTGTCATTACTTACTATTTCCGTGATGCTGGGAACCTAACCCAGGACTTCGTCCATGAATATAACTGCTCCACCACCAAGCAGCACCTTTGGACATGAGTGCCGTAGTTTAGCCAGATCTTTTTTGGACCACAAGGGAGTTTGCTTTTTTCCTCATATATTACGCAGCTATGAAAGTCCTCCAAGTAAATCTCTGTATTCATGATAATCTGAGAATCATCTCGAGAAGTGGGGCTCTTTTAGGATCTCCATTTAAGACTTAAGAAAGGTGGGGTAGTTTTGGTTTGGGTGCTGGGGAGTGAGCCCAGGCCTGCACGTGTGAAGCAGGCATGCTACCACTGAGTGACAACCTTGCACCCAAAATGAGGATAATGAATGTATGGCGTGCTTCAGAAAAATTTTCCCAATTTTCCTCAGCCTTCCAAAGGTGTCATGGGTACTGAGGCAGATGCTACTTTCAGAAAAAGTTTCCCTATAAGACAGAGGAGCTTAGTGTATGTGTGGAAGAGTTACTGTGGGATGTGAGTTGCTTGTGACTAACTTATGTTGTTTTGCAGTGTATGCTGATGGTAGCATATGTTTAGATATCCTGCAGAATCGATGGAGTCCCACATATGATGTCTCTTCCATCTTAACTTCAATTCAGGTAAGTTTGTGTTCAGATGCATCATAACTTCTTCATAGTCTGTGGGATATAACCAGTTATTTAGAACCTCCTGCCAGCACCCAGTGATTAATGCATGACTTGGACAACACCCCAACTGCTCACACTTTTATTAGGTGACATATGATATCTAATCCACAGCTTGTTTTTTTTTGGAGGGCAGAGGTCTCTTGTTGCCCAGGCTGACCCACAGAAGACCATGTCTCTTCCCAAATGCTGCAGATATAGGCATATTTCACCATGCCTAGACACAACCTGTTTCCTTACCATGTGTCTACATACTTGCAAATGAGACTTGCTAGTACCCACGTAGTATTTGGGGAGAAGTAAAGTGATTGCTTAGAAAACCATAGGGACCTCCAGGAACTCCCAGGTACAAAGATCCTGTACCTGTGTTGTTCCAGTCGAGAAAGAGGGGCAGTAACTGTTGGTCCATGAGGCTAGGGAGGCTGATGGAGCTGTGCCTATTTGAAAGGAGCAAAAAACCACTTCAGTGTGTGTGTGTCTTTGTGAGTCTTTTGCCTACTGTTCTGCCCATCTCTGGGGAATGTCAAGATGTTTCATACTACATCACTGAGTCTTGTTCCTATCTGATTCCCACTATCTATCTGTCCATCTTTCCTATCCCTGTATGTCCCTAATCCCCAATCCTCTCATAGTCCATTTCTGGTCCCATGTCCCATGTATTTAGGATACGGTCTACAAATAAGAGTGACTGTTAGCCTTAGCTTGCTCATTACCCTGTACTTTCCTTCCCACTCTGGTCATGTCACAATTTTACTATTTTATCCCTGATAAACGTTATGTGAGTAACTGCAGTAATAAGACTTAGGCCTGGGGTGGGGACAGTGGTTAGTAGTAGAACACTCAGCATGCCCAACTTCTGAGCACCACAAAAACCGATAGTAGTAGATCTGGGAGCTGGGCAGTGGTGGCACATGCCTTTAATCCTAGCTGTAGGAAAGCAGAAACAGAGGGATCTCTGTGTTTGAGGCCGGCCAGGGCTACACAGAAAAAAAAATGTCTTAAACTAGCGAGACAGAGACAGAGGGAGGGAAGGGATACTAGCAGTAAAAAATATATGAAATTAAATTACTAAGGTATTGTATGGTGTTATAGTTTAACCAGATTAAGCTGTTATTCCATGGTGAGGATGTTCTTAATATGCTAATGAATATTGTTCTTGGCTGATTTCCTTGAAATGGGAAGTCTCAAGGTGACTGAGAATTGTTTTGGAAGCTTATTACATTCTTTAGTAACAGAAACCTGCTTCATGCTGTTTCTGAAGGTTTTGAGACCTGAAAGAAGACATAGGAAGAACTTCAAGTAATTCTGTTTTCTCTAATTTTCCTGTCCTCATCTGAGTCCTATTAATATAGCGCATAACTGAAAAGCATTTTCTTCTCTCTCTCCTAGTCTCTGTTGGATGAACCGAATCCAAACAGTCCAGCCAATAGCCAAGCCGCACAGCTTTATCAGGAAAACAAACGGGAGTATGAGAAGAGAGTTTCGGCCATTGTTGAGCAAAGCTGGAATGATTCATAATAGACACCGGTCTGTTCATCTTTTCATCGTTGTTGTGTATAATTTACCTCCCAGTAGAAAGGCTAGCAAGTTTTAAGTGCCACGGGTTTTAAGGATTCTGCAGAGAAAAAAGAAAAAGTCCTTCAGTTTAGAACCTACAAAAGCTTGTGTATCTTGATTAATGTACTTTTTATTGCATGGTGTGAACTAAGTTATTGCTGCATAAATTTGTAATATATCCTGTTTGTATTTTTTTCCAAGTGTATAATGTTGGTGTGGAGTTTTCATGACAGAATATACACATTTTGTAAATCTGTACTTTTTTCAAATATTGAATGCCTTATTTTTGAATTCTTTAGATTTTTAAATTGGAGAAAAGCACTTAAAGTTTTTTATATATGAATATTACATGTAAAGCTGTTAAAATACATAACTTCAGTGCAAGAGACTTTGTCACTTATTTCCTTACCTGTGCAGGAGTCTCTGCTCTTCGCCAGGTGAGAGCCTCATTTCCAACTGCAGAAGGTCACGCTTCTGTTCTATCAAGAAAGTCTGCAAATTTGATTCTAAAAACCAATTCTGATCTCCGGCTTTATTTTGAATGTACTTATGTTAGTTCAGTTGAGTAACTATAGACTTACTGGTCTGGTTCTGTCCAGCTCTGTATTTGGGCCACTTGTTAATGTGCGTTTCTCATGTAAACTGTACCTTTTGTGACTTCACAATTGGCACCTTGACCACGAGCAGAGCTGACTACTCTGCTGCGTGGCAGCACCTTCACAGGCTTTTGATTAAGAAGAAAGTAAAACCATCACCATTTACCAAACACCGTGCCGCAGTATTAGCAATGGCCGGTTGCGCTGGTTTGAGCAAGGCAGAGATTTGGAAGGAATCTTGGTGTAACTTGAATATTTGCAAACTACCTTTTAATGCAGCTGCGCGCTACCTGTTTATTCTGGAACTGTTGAGCACCAGGGCCTGCCGAGTTGCTTCTCACCTCCTCAGTTGTATACAAGTTGTACTGCATCTTAGTTTACTGGATAGATTTAAAACACAGTATTGTAGAAAGCTAATACAAAGCTATCCTATGCCTTCAAATAGTATAGAAAATGGAAAATATACAAGTAAATTCTGTTGAACCACGTGTGTAGTCTCTCTAGTAGTTGAAACAGCTATTGTAGTGAGCCCGAGTTTCTTGTCATCCATACCAGCCTCCTAGAAAGACATGCTCTGGTAGCCTCTCCACTGGAACATTGGGTTTCAGAGTGACCATGTAACTAGGGTGGATAAGAACTGATACTTTCCTTTAAAAGTTGTTGCCCTGGGGTGCTGAAGAGATGGTTCCCTGGTTATTGCATGTACTGTTTCTGCAAGACCCCAATCTCTGTTCCCAGCTCCAGGGGGAATCCAAAGCGCTTCTGACTAAATCAGACACTGGCATTCACATAAACAGACACTTACATAATTAAAATAAAAGTATTAATTTATTAAGCTTAGCATGGTGGCACATAACCTGCTTACATCCTTGGGAGGCTGGGGAAGATAATGATTTTGAGCCTGGTCTACGTAGTGAGTTCCAGGCCACTCGGGGGACATGGTGAGACGTGGGATGCTTCTGCCATTTATTTAGCTCTACAACTCTTCCTCCAGTGACTTGGTCAGTGAATAAGCAAGACTTGTGAGAGGAGCTCAACTGTTTCACTAAACAACATCCTGGGGATGTCAGCACCATATTTATTCTTAGCTATTTTCCTCATCCGTTTGAAAACACACATTTCAAGTGCTTGGTAAACAGTTAAAGGGAGTGATGTCAGACGGTGACCCAGCTGTTAGGTTTTGCTACCTATCTGGCCCATCTGACCGAAAGTCCTTAGAAACGTCTATTAATCACTCCTGGTTTGTCTTTGGTAGAGTATCAGGTCTGAGTCTTTAACTCATACACTTTACCATTCAAAAATGTTCACTTTTTGGTCTAGATACATTTGTACAGCAAGATGCTAGAACTAAGCAAGGCTTCCAGATAGATTTGCACAGGGTTTAGATGTATGTGCTCGAGAGTACTTCCTCAGGAGCAGGACCTGGCAGAGAGCAGCCCACATGGCACTGTTCCCAGCACTTAGGTGTCATTTACGCATAAAACTGGTCACTGTTCTATTACAGATCAGGGAACTCAGAGAGATGAGGTGTCTTAGGTCCACCAGCTAGGAAATGAGCTGGCTTTTGGAAGTAGTCTGAACTCTGAACCGTAAGGAATAATAAAGGGAGTTTTACTTTATTTGGTAGAGTTACGAACAGACTATCCAGTGGGAAAGTTTTCTTCATTATCATTTCCCACCTTCATACACATAACCTATGTCAGTGGGTTTAGAAACTTCCTGCTCTCTGATTTCTCAATAAACCATTTCCCTTTCCATCCAGGAAATGCCCCTGAATCTAGCTCCTCAGGCCTAGCCCTCTTAACAATAAAGTGGATTCTTTAAGTCACTTTTGGAGGCTGGCTGTGACATGGCTTAACAGGTAAAGGTGCTTGCCACCAAGCCTGATGGCCAGAGATCCCTGGGACCCCATGGAAGGAGAAAACTGACTCCCATAAGTTGTCCTGTCACCTCCAACCTGAACATGGGACATGTGTTCCCATCCCATACACAACCACAAAACCAGCATAATTTGAAGTCTTTGAGATCTGGTCCAAACCTCACGTGTATGGAAAGCAATGGAGAGAACTGAGTGCTGCTGTGATTACTAATTGTTCTGTGCTCAGTAAACCAAGGCCCTGCCTATGCAGTGTGGTGCTTGCTGGTGGGAAGTGGGTTGAACCAAGGTCCTGAGAGAAGCACTATACAGATGAGCTCTTCCCCCAGCTTCTATTTACGAGTCACAGAAGGAATGCTGGAGGCTGGAGAGATGGCTCAGTGCTAAGATCACATACTGTTCTTGATGAGGACTTGAGTTCAGTTCCCAGCACCTGTGCCAGGTAGCTCACCACTACCTGTAACTCCAGCTCCAGGGGACCTGGAACTTCTGACCTGTGAGCACTAGCACTCAAGGACACAGATACACACACATAAAGATGTTAGAAGTACACAGGTATAATTTGGGTGTGGTATGGTCCATGCCTGAATCTCAGCATTTGGGAGGCCAAGACAGGAGGATTCCATGAGTTTGAGGCTAGTCACGCTACACAGAGGGAGACCCTGCCTCCAGAAAGAAACTTTTGGGCTCAAATGGTAAGATTCAGAGTTTTGTCTGGTTTGAGTTGCTGGGAATCAAAATGGCCCCAGGCATGCTAGGTAAAAGTTGTCAGTGAGTTGTATTAACCAACCCTGTGGGTAGACAGTGGATCACAGTTCTTTCTATTGTGTCCAGCCATGGGATGTGGCAAATGGGTTAGCTGTGTAAAGAGATATCTAGTAGTTGAAGCTGTTGAGGTGCAAAATTGTCAGGAGAGAGACTTTTTAACAGAGCTGTGGCTCTGTTTGGTTCCCATCTAGTTTGGGAGAAAATGAGCTACTGTCCAATAGAGACCGTCTTTGATCTTAAGCATATGACACATCAAAGAGCAGAAGTCTTGAAGGCATGGGCCACTCCTCCAGCCTTGGAAGAAAGAACAGATAATCGAACACATGCACCATTTTTTAGTAAATTTGTCCTATCACTGCTATAGCTTTTAAAAATTATCTTAGTAAAGTCTTGAGGTTTTAATGTATCTTCTACTCAATGGATAGCTTAGGGAATTAACTTTAGTTGAGTCAAAAAGATGAACAACCTGTTTCCTTTACAAAGGGTTTATCAGCAGTCCACACCCAGCTCAACATTAGCTCCAGCCATCCTCTGGAATATGGAAGGTTCAGACTTGGATGTGGAACTTGCCTGTGGAAGGATTTAACTGCTGTTTATTTCGTAACTAACTCTCGGGCCACGTGGCATTCATCTGGAAGTGTCTTGCTGAGAGCAGATAGCCAAGCTTGCTAAGGAGTGGATCTATGGAGTGGCAGTTAAAAGATGACACCTCTGGGTTGAGTGTGGTTCAGTGGTAGAACACTTGGCTTTGGCAAGTATAAGGACCTGGATTTGAACCCAGCAACCCATCCACCCCTCTACTCTACTCCCCACCCCCCTACACAGTAAGATGCTGCTTAACTGTTTTGGAGACCTTAACTGATCTTGAAGTCTCAGAAGGAAGTGAATCCCTAAAATGTGGTTGGATTGGGAACTTAGGATCAGAGTCTGACTGAATTCTCTAGTCTTCGTTCTTAGAATCTGAGAATGACTTTACCATGTCTTGGAAGCTGCTGGCATGAAGATACTGCACTTCAGCTGCCCTCTTAGGAGCAAAGATTTTGCTACACTTGCTTCCTTTCTGAAGCTCATAAGAGAAAGTTGCCCCTGTACAAATAAGATCTTTTGCCAAGAATGCCACTGCTCACCAGCTCAGTTGGCCTAGTGGCACTTCTAAAGAGTGTTAAATAAAGAGCTTGCAGCTCCAGCTGGCCCGTATAAAGTCATTTTAGAAAATGGAACTGGGAATGTTATAACAGGGTTGGTTCAAAGAAAACAAGGAACAGGAAACCCTTCACCTATCACCTCATTCAAAGCCAGGGAGATACTCTCCCTTTTCATAGAAAAAGATGTGTTTGCTGGACCTGGTAACTGACCACACTGGCAGAGATGAGGAAGGGCTCAGGGAATGCTGGTCTGTCACCAGCTTTAGCCACATGCTTATGTCAGGAAAAGCTGTCATCCTACTGTACTGCAACTGGCTTTGGTCCTGGAAATGTTCCCATGGGTGCATACAAAGATGCTGTGTGGGCAGAGTGAGGTGAAAGGTTTCCTTTGGAGAGAGCACTCTTCCGTGGGGTCTTCTGCAAGCCAGCAGCACAAGCAAGGCCAATGCTGAGGCTTGGAGAGTTTGGTGTAAAATGTTTCCTTTCCTGGCTTTGGTTACTACACATTGTGCTAGGAACAGTGTCATACAGCCCAAGCAAACCTAAAATTCTGTGGAGTCCAGGGTAGCTCAGACTTAGAATCCACCTGGGTCAAACTTCCAAGTGCTAGTATGGGTATTTTGCTTGCACAGATGTCTTTGTAACACTTGTGTGTCTGATGTCTGCAGAGGCCAAAAGAGGTCATCAGATCCCCCTTGAACTGGAGTTACAGACAGTTGTTAACCACCGTGTGGGTGCTTGGAATTGAACCAGGTCCTCTGAAGAGCAGCCAGTGCTCTTAACCATTGAGCCATCTCTCCAGCCCTATTTTTTGTTGTTGTTGTTTGAGACAGTCTTATGTAGCCCAGGCTGACCTTGAACTTAGTACATAGTCAAGGATGACCTTAAATGTCTGATTCTTTTGTCTCCCTCTCCCAAGTGTATAACCAGTAGTTTTGTCTACTCTGCTTTCTGCTCCTGGCTGGTCACACACGCACCTGCCCAGGAGCTATCTCTGATCTGTGAATAGAAACACACACACACACACACACACACACACACACACACACACACACAAGTTAATCTTAAAATACCTTTGTTAACTTAATGACTGGGCACTCCTAATTCTTTCCCTCCTACTCCAGGCCTCTAGCCACTTCCTTGAAAACATATCTGGTTGGCTTATCTCCTTAGCCGTGCATCCCCGCCTCTCTTCCAGTCTTCCCAGTTCTCACTGTGTCCTACCTGAAACTGTTTAAGATGATTAAGTAACACAAGTTAAGGGCCAGATAGCAAACTCATGGTTCTGTTAGATTCTGATTTGATAAAGTGTTTTTAGCTTGCTCAAATAGAATGGCTCAGAGTAGTTCAACAATTTAGAAGTTCAGAGATACTTTAGACTTCAAAAACATCAGAAATCCACAGAATGTGACATTTAACATTATTTCATTTTTAAGGATCATTTGACTAGATACATGACTGCTCCTGACAGTACCCCCTTCACAGTTCAAAGAAGATATTGAGCAACTTTACCTCCAGGCAAGGTTGCTTATCATGGCAATGTAGCCACAGGGCAGAAATTGCCTATTTCATCTACAGACAAAATACTGTCCAAAATGGACACACTATGCGGAATAGTCAACTGATAGCTCTGCCAAGCAGGGTAAACAGTCCTTCATAATTCTGCTTTACAAAGGTCTGTTAGATGATCCTGGGCTAGAATGCTGAAGACTGATGCTCCAACATTTTGAGCAATGGGAAACTGTCCAGGTAGTCGGCTGTCTCTACAATTGTCTAAGTTTGAGAAGCTATGGTTAGTACTTCCTGTATACCTAGGTAATATTTATTTCATTCTTGGATTTCTGACAGGGTTGAAGACTAATTATAGTTCCATAAGCAAACTTAAGTTGTTTAACATTAAATACATGATATAGAGTAGAAAGCATAGTTTTGAGATGGTGTTACAGGCTAAAATCAAAACTATTCAGAGATAGAATTGTAACTCTTTAAGTTAGGGATGATGGTAGAGTACTTTATCTAATTGACAAACATGATGGACTGGGTGTTGATTGTATATCATGCTTTAGAATGTACATAATTGTTGTGGTTATGCTCACTTTAGGTCTGAGAGAAGAGGGTTTTTTTTTGTTTTAAATTGGACAGAAAAGGTGAGATATAGAGGGTGGTTCTGATGCATTAATTTAATTGGGAATCTGTGTTTATTGACACTGAAGGTCCTTGCTCCCAGTTGGTTTTTGATCAAAGATGCCAGTGGCCAATGGCTGGGCAGAAAAAAAAAAAAAGGCAGAACTAGAGGAGAGGGCAGGGGGAGAAGAATTGAGATACTTGGGAGAAAGAGACAGAACAGACTCAGAGCTGCAGAGGCCATCTTCCAAAATGTAGGCGGAAAAGGAAGGCGGCCCACGGAAGGGCAGCCTGAAAGTGTCGTGGGCAGTGAGACCAATGGGCTTCACAGAAGGCAACCAGGCAACTAAGTTGAGGGCAGATTTAGAGGTGTTGAGCTAGGAGTAAAGATAAGAGCAGGCTAACTGCAGAAGGCTTGGAAGAGCCCAGCAACAGAGCCAGTAAGGCAGTTTAAAAATGAGCTAATGTGTATGTATGTATCTTTCATCCTCGAATGCGAGATAGCTCCTGGGCCAGTGCATGCCTGTCACCAGCCGAGAGCACAAAGAAGTCAGCCAAAACTTCCACTACACAAGTGTTAGGATTATAGGTATGCACCAACACACCTGGTTTATGCATTGCTCGGATAAACGCAGGCCTTCATGCACTGTAGGCAGGCACTCAACCCCAGCCCCACAAAGATGCTTTGGCAAATTGGATGTTCTGCATGGAACAGCTTGTGAAGTAGCCAAAATCAGCATCAAGGATCTAGTCATCAGAGCAGTAACACATAATACCAAAGGAAAATGAAGATTGCTCTCTTTGCAGCTAGCCTGGGCAAGCACAGGCCTAGATAAGAAGCCCAGAAGATATCAGAGGACCTGTGGGGTCTACAGCGCACACCTTTCAACCCAGCATTTAGGAGGCAAAGGCAGACAGATCTCTGTGAAGCCTATTTGCTGTGAGGTCTACATAGCAAATTTCAGGCTAGCCTGGGCTATATAGTGAGGCTCTGTCTCAATACACAAATAAGAAAATTTAACAAGTTGTAAAGATAACTGAATACAAAAAGTAGAGGGAGCCGGGTGGTGGTGGCGCACGCCTTTAATCCCAGCACTTGAGAGGCAGAGGCAGGCGGATTTCTGAGTTCGAGAGTTCGAGGCTAGCCTGGTCTACAGAGTGACTTCCAGGACAGCCAGGGCTGCACAGAGAAACCCTGTCTCAAAAAACCAAACCAAGAAAAAAAAAAAAAGTAGAGGGAAGCACAAATCATTGACTTAGCAGCTGAGATGCTTAAAACCTAAGGTTTAAGTAGAAGTAGGGACTGCAGTCAGCCTAGAACTCTAGCCAGAGTGAAGGGGAACCTAGTGTTTTGCAGGAATATGTGGGACACGCCAGTCAGAGGCTGTGCATACAGTGCAGGACAAGGAGCATACTGACATACCAAAGAGCTCAGGACCCCAGACACAGAGCTATTGGGTCCCAAGATACCTAGTGTTTGGGGCTGGGTGCTGCAAGTAACCAATGGACCTTTAGCCAAGATCTGCCACTTTTCAAGGATTTGTATTTGGTTGGTGGCTTGTTGCTCAGTACCTCCTGCTTGCTCTTTGAAGGCCACATGCTGCTGCTCCCTCTCTATAGAAAGGTCATCTCCGTTGAAGCCCTGTGGTGGGATGGGAGAGCAGAGCACCTAAGGAAACTTACTTGTCTTTTGTGAGTCCAAGTTTGTCAAAAGCTTTGGTTCCAACATGTCCCAGCTTCTCAGAAAACCCAGGACAAGACACAAGCAAAGTCGTGCCAGGCATGTGCAGACACTGGCTTCCCACACAGTTCTCCAATAAGGGAAGTCCTGTTTGTCAGGACTCTGGCTCACAGGCTCACCTCCATGACAAAGGAGCCTACATCTAAGGCAGGCAACAGACCCTTTATTAGTTTCTAGTCTTTGGTTTTGCAGGGCTTTATGAGTATGTCTAGGTGATGCTGTGGACTTCCCCAGCTGGCTTTCAGAGTGAGTGTGGGTCCCAAGCCCCCTCCATTGCTGATAAGCACATGCCGCACACTGCCTAGCCATCCTACCCTTTCCCAACCTGGCCCAAGAGTGTGATCTTTCAGAAAGAAAGAATGAACTTGGAAGTTCATTTCACACAACACACACACACACTCAAGAGGTTTCTTTTCTTCAGTATTTGTTGAAGGAAGCAATTTCTCCATAACTAAAATGTGGTTTCTAAGTTCCGAAATTATTGTTCCTAAAGATCCGTGTGTACTCTCCCAAATTAACTTCTCAGGAATACTGCAGAGAGCAATTTTCTGGGCATAGCATCACCAGCGTGAGCACCTTTTATCTGAAACTTCTGTACTCACTTCCTGTGGCCTGATACACACTTTTCAAAGTCCTCGGGGCATGCCTTGGAGGTGTGGTTAAGTTCCTCTGCATGATCTCACTCTTACTTCAAGCTTGGGAAGGAATACATAAAGAATACAATAGTCATTTCATAGGTGAGTCAGCCACTAGGTTAGAAAAATGAGAAGAAAGGTAGGCAGCTTAGCTGAGGAAATGAAGAAAACCAAAACCAAGAAGAGCAAAAAGACTGGGGAAACAGAACAGAAGGCAACAGAACTCTGCCATGCTGGGCCCAAGACACCATGCCTGCAGGTGGCTTCACTTCTGGATTCCAGTTGTCCAAATACTTACATGAAGTAAGTAAACTGGAGGTTTATGGGAAGAAATCACACAACTCAAATCTAACTTCATTCAATGGAAAAGCTGTTTTATTGGGGGTTGCAGACAGAAAATAAAATCAATCTATGGAAAGTGCATTTTGTTTTTAAGCCTCACAAATCTGCACAGATGATTAGAATGGATGAAGCCTTCTGCATCTGAGAAGATGAGGCTTCAGTTCAGTGAGCACAGAGCTCCGCCCTCCCAACAGTCACCACCTTGCCATTTCCCTGTGACAGGCGGTCTTTCATTGCCTGGAGAAGCTTGTCCAAGGGATCAAATCAACGGCTACTGGGGACTGGAGCTGAAGCCACATAAAGATGTGGCCTTTATCTCAAGCCACAAACAAGAATGTGTCCCACTGCTCTGACGCCAAACACCAGTGGCCCCAGCTTCTGGGTGTCCAATTTCCTGTATCCAGTATATGAAGCTAAGGCAGACCCCGCCGTCTTTCTGGCCATAATGGTCCTGCCACTGATGAGTCCTGCTGTGGTACACTGCCCCATGGCTGCCCGCAGCTCTAATGGTGACTAAATACAGGGAACTGGAAGGGGGATCAGAACACGTATGTCAGCTGTCAGGTGGAATGCCAACACCACCACCTCAGAGCAAAGCAGGATTGCACTGCAATCCAGAGGCGATATGCAAGGCAGTTAGTTCAAGTGTGAAAGCCTTCTAGAAACAAAAATGCAGGCACATAGGCATCTAGTACCTAGAAATCATCTGGTTGGCTGAACAAAGCCATATATACTTCCAGCAATTTTAATCTAACTAGCTATTTTTCCCCCCTTTGAAATACTAGGGACCAAACCCAGGACCCCAACATGCTACGCATGGACTCTATCAAGCTACGCCTCTAGCCCTCAGTGAGCTTTAAAGTTAGGCTGGATGGGTTTTTGTACCTTGCCTCCTACCTATGAGCTAGCTCTGCTACTTCAGGCCTGTAACATGATTCCCACTTCCTACACAAAGGTCCCTGAGCCCAGCGGTGGGGGTGCTCCAGTGACACAGTTGGTTAGTGCACAGTTCTTTGGTGGCCATTAGCAGTGCGGTACAGTGCGGTACAAGTATAGAGTATTCAGAAATAGTGACACAGGATCTGCCTTGACTCAGGATAAAAATGGGTGGGGGTATGGCAGAAACAAGAATTATATTTACAGATACTCTGCTTAAAAAAAATCAAATTATAAAATTTATCAGCTGTCATTGTTATATCAACATAAAAAGCATTTCAAACAAAGTTTGGCTTTGACAACCCTGATGAAATTTCTGAGAGTCCGCCATGTATGAAATCATAAATATGCGCGTGTATTTTTACAGCAGTCCTGGAAGAACGAAGACTTCTTTGAAGCCCTTGAGCCCTGTCCCCTTCTGTTCCAGCTGCCTCTATGCTGCATATACCAGGAATCTCAAGAGCTGCCAATGTTCAGTCACCTTCACCCTGGCCTCCTTTCAAAGTCTGTCCCCAGGGTGGAAATGTGGAGATCTGCCTTAGCTTTGATGCTGAAATAAAAAAAAAGAAGAAAAAGTTACACACCCATAGAGGCTCATGAATCAAGTTTATCTTCACACATTCAAATAAAGCAGTGATGGAATATTTATGTGCGACCCAGATGGCAAGTCTACTCAGCAATTATTAATATTTTACTACATACAGAAAGTGCAGCCACACACTGACCACATGATCCATTTGGAAGCCAGAACCTTACTTCCCTCACTTGTGGCTTGCTGTCTATAAGTGTTCACAATTTAAAGTGATAACGGAAATACTTAAGTGCTCTACCTGCCGCCAGCCTCTGCCCTCACAGACGCTCACTGTTCTAAATTCAACACGGCCAGATTCAGGTGGTACTTTGTCGTACTCTGCACTGAGTCAGAGCACTTAGGAGAAGTGAAGGTTATGTATTTCTGGAGCTCACACAATTACAAACTGTAAAAGTGAGTCTGCAAACAACGGTGACCTGGAGCCGACAGATTCCTCCCAGGTGCTCTAGCACCTTCGGTAAATATAAATGTGGCTTTAGAAAACTTTTAAGGAGGGTGTGAAGAAATCACTGACTGTCACCTTGTGTTTGAATGGATTCCCTTAACACCGAGCAGCGGGAGTGAATCAACTTTAAAGTCTTTTTAGTAATCAAGAGATTTCAAGGTATGACCTATTTCCTAGCTAAGTCAAAAACCCTCAGCAAAGGTAAAACACAAGTCTTTCTACACTTGGGAAAATGCAGTGCAACCAAGAAACCACCTGAATGTGGTACAGGGAAACACCCTATGACACCTCACTTAGATTTTCTTTTTCTTTTTAAAAATGATTTCTCTCATGTGTAGGAATTAGGGGCTGCCCAGGCAGTCAATTGTCTCCATAATTGTTTAAGTTTTGGAAGCTATGTGTGGTGCTTCCTATATACTCAGGCAATATTTAATTCGTTCTGATTTCTGATAGGGTGGAAGACTAATTAGTTATAGTTTCATAATCAAATTCAAGTTGTTTAGCATTGAGAGAGATTATAGAGTGGAAGACGTGTTTTTCAGATGGTGTTACAGGCTAAATTCTAAACATAATTCAGGGATAGAATTATAAGTCTTTAAGTTAGGAATGATCATAGAGTACCTCATCTTATTGACAAATACGATGGACTGGATGTTAACTGTGTATCATACTTGTTAACTTACATGATTGCTATGGTTTTGTTCAACTTATGTCTGAGAGAAGAGGTTTTTTTTTTTTTAAGGACAGGAAAGGTGAGATGTAGGGGGTGGTCCTGATGCTAAGGTCCTGCTCCCCAAGTGGTCCTTGACTGATGAATGACAATGCTAGCCGCCAATGAGCTGGGCAGAATAAGCAGGACTGTTCTTCGGCAGGCAGGCAGGCTAGCAGACTTGGGAGAGGAGAAAGAGATCTGTCATACTTCAGAGGGAGAAAAGGGTATCAGTCATGTGAGATCTAGGGTGGAGTGACCACTGGCCACTTCCCCGACTGGGCCTGGGGTGGCAGACAGGAGATTAGAAACATAACTAAGCTGAGGGCAGATTTAGAGTGCTGATCTGGGAGTGAAAAGAAGGGCAAGCATGATAGCCGAGGAAGGCTTAGAAGATCCCGGCCACTGAGTTAAAACAATATAAAAATAAACTAATGTATATGTGTGTCTTTCATCCACAGATCCAAGAGAACCTGGGTGGGGCTGGTTGCACTGTACACCCAGAGCTTAAAGTGAGATAAGAAAAACTATACACAACACTCATGTATATAGGTGTTTTGTCTGCATGTATGTCTGTGCACCAAGTATATGCCTGGTGCCTGAGGAGGTCCCAGGAAAGGGAGTTAGATGCACCAGGATTAGGGTTATAGATTGTGAGCCACCATGTGGGTGCTAGGAATTGAACCAGGATCCTCTGGAAGAGCAACTAGTGCTCTTAACCACTGAGCCACCTTTCCAGGTCCACAAGAGTTTCAACTGGACAGACTCAGACCACTGCCCTTTCCAGATGGCATTGTTAGTTGATTCACCTATCCTGGACTCTGGACTACAAGACTGGCCCACAGGGTCAGATCCATTTTTTTCTTCCCTCTCTTTCAACAGGATCTACACAGTCCAGTCTTGTCTCCAACTGTCTAGGTAGCCAAGGATGACCTTGAGCTCCTGATCTTCCTGCCTCTACCTCTGGAGTACTGGGATTAAGGATGTGGACCCCCATGTCTGGTTATGGCTTTCATGAAAACATGGCCTCAGAGCTGGCTGAAGCTGCAAAAAAGCACAGAAGACCTTGTGGCACGTGGGCATGTTCCTTGATTTTCACACTGTTCCTTGTAGTCAATTTCATACTGATGTCTCTCCTCCTGGGATACAGATGTTCTCAGGAGAAGCAGCAAATTATGATGTTAATGAAGTCTTTGAATCAACGATAACAGCTTCTTTGTCAATCACTGCTCATTTTCCGTTTTTTTGTTGTTGGTGGTGTTGTTTTTGAGAGAGAGATGGTCTCTATGTAGCCCCATCCATTCTGAAACTAAATATGTAGAACAGCTTCATTCAAACTCACAGAACTCCTTCTGCCTCTGTCTCCAGAGTGCTGGGATTAAAGGCGTGGCCACCACACCCGGCTATTCGTGACTGATTCAGTGGTGGCTGTGGTGCCGCCCTTCCTGAGTTAGCGGCCGCTGTCACTGCCCCTGCAGATGCCACACTGGCTGCAGGCTGCAGGCGAGCACTGGGTGGCACTTAGATCCCCAAGGCTGCTTGCTCAATATGCTTGTGACGAATTCCCCTTTTCAGAAGAGAGCCCATGCTCCTCCTCACTGCTGGCCACATCCCACCTGTCACATTCATTCCTCAGACCTAAAACAAAGAGTTGGACAGACATACACCTGCCCAGAAGTTGCAGGAGAGCACAATGTAGTTTGAAAACTTTACTCCAGAGAGCTTCTAAGTCATCATCAGTGTCTGGTCTCCAGGTGTCAACAATGCTGAGCGATTCCTTCCCACAACCCAGCTAACTCTAAAACCCCACTACACTCTAATTTCAGAGGGTCAGTTCTGGCTGGCACAATGACAGGGCTTTTAGAGTTCGGGCCTAGTACCCTTCAGCTTCACCTGACATGAAAGGAAGGACAAACTATCTCAAAGACTCTCTGCAGCTGACTCAGAAACCAGTCAGAGAGTGGGTGATTTGTTCTCATGAATGGCTTTCTTACAGGAGTTTGTCTTGTTGTGGGTACCAGACCTAGGTTAGCGCTGTCACAGAGACACATCCGCAGCCTCCTGGAAGAAGGCTTGTTCTTTACACTGTTATTATTTATTTCTCTGTGTGTGCTCATATATGTGAGCAGGCCATAGAACATGTGTGACGGTTAGCAGACAACTTTCAGGAGTTGGTTCTCTCTCTCCACCACGGGTTCCAAGGCTTGATCTCAGGTCTTAAAGCTTGTCAGCAAACACCTCTATCTGGCCGAGCCATCTCACTGGCCCAAGACCAACACCTGTGACTTGGGGCAGAAGACAAAAGTGGAAGAATTCCTACTTTGTTTCCACACACTGGTTCTTTCAAAGCCCTGGAGTATAAGTGTCAAGTACATTTGTGTAAGTATGGCTTCCCTATATGAGCACAGCTCCACCCTTTCCATATTATCCATATCAATAAGATAATGTCCTGTTGTTCTGTGTTACACCTTACAGGCTCCAGACAGATATTTGAGATGGGAAGCTCCAGGACATGGTGGCCTGGGTTCACACTGGCTAGGTCATCATGTGCATCTGCAAGAAGCATGTGATGGATGCCTTGCATGAGATCAAGTTGAAGTTCACTAGCTTCCGGAAAGCCACGTCCCACAGATGTGGGGCTTTACCAGGTTCAATGCAAGTAAATCTGAAGACTTGGTGGCTGAGAAGTAGGTGATGTCCTCTCTCTGTGGTGTCAGAGCAGGTCCTGCACTCGTGTCTTCTACATGGCTACACTCTCTCCAGAATCATGCCCAGTAGTAAATCTTATACTCTACCCAAATAAAGCTTTCAAATTTTATATAAAAGACTGGAGAGATATCAAATGAACTTTAGGAAATAAGGGAGCAATCCTTCTGCCTAAACAGACCAGGGTAGATGTGAGACACACACATGTGTGTTGGGGTGGGGTGGGGGGTTGTGTAGACAAGACTCATGGCCGGCCTTATTCTCCAAAGTTTCCTCTGCCTCTCCCTGGCCCCAGGGATCCAGGATCCAGACAAGGCTCTAGGGCAAAGCTCACTGTGGACAAGGCCACAGCCATAAGACTTGGTCCTGAAGACCAGAACACAGCTGTGGTGTCTGGACATTACCCGGCCACATTCCTTATCAGCTAGTCAGAGTCCACACAAGTCTGGTCCAGCCCTGACCTGCTGAGGCAGAGATATCCTGTAAGAACTACTCTAAAATGAAGTATTTCTAACTTTACCACCCTAACAAGATTTTTCTTTTTTTAAATAAGCAAAACAAGCCAAGTCTGGGGGTTTATGCCTATAATCCCAGAACTCAGGAGGAAACAGAACAAACACTAACAACAAAAACTAAATAAATAAAAGAATAAATAAACAAAACAGCTGTGCCTAGAGACAGAGGTGTGTCATCCAGGCCACCAGGGAACAGAGGCAGGTCTGTGATCACAAGGCCTGCTGGGCTAAAGGTCAAGGTGAAGCCTGGGTAAGACTCTGTGAAACAAGTAAACAAAGACTGGCTACACACCTCGGGGAGAGCATTTGCCTGGCACATACAAGGCTCTAGGTTCAACTCTCATTAATGCACAAATAATACACGAACCCCCTACACTTCACCTGGGGAAGAAAGCATGGTGTTTTACTTCTAGCCTTTTCTGTTCCACATAATGATTTCCGTTTCTATCCATTTCCTGTGAACATTCAATTTCATCTTTTGTTACAGCTGAACAACATTTTGTGGTGTTTATGGACTGCATTTTCATCATATACTCGCTTACTGACGGGTATCGAGGCTGGTTACTGTGAACAGTGCAGCCATAAACACGAATGTGTGAAATGTCTGTGCGATGTTCACTCAGAGTCCTTCGGGAGAGGACCCTCTATACCAATTCCTAGTTTTCCAGTGTAAGGAGCACGGTTCAATCCCTGGCACCAAGAGAAAAGGAGTGTTGTAGACAAACCAAAGAGACTGAGCCTGTGTGTTACTCCAAGGACAATGCATACATAACTCATCATGTTGACTTGTTATCTAGTTAAGAAAAGATGTATACCAACTGTGAAGAAATAACGAAAGACTTAAGGATGTGGGGCAGGAAACAAGAATGCTCAAAAGCAACATGATACAGTGTAAGCCGGGCTCTTTGTCTCTACACTTGCAAACGTTTCTCACCTTTTTCATTAGTTCACTTCTGCTTGTAAACTGTGGCGGGTCTTCCACTTCAATCCCATCAGCCATTTCCATCACCTTGTCCAGAAGGTCTTTATTGTAACTGCACAATAAAAAGCAGTACGGTAAAAACCTGGGAAGACTCACTCTCACTGTGGGTTAGTAAGAAAGTGTAGTTATTAGACTGCAAATGCTATCCCTAGAATACAGAACTGTTTGCTCACTGGTACGTTCACACTATGCTATTCTGAGGTTTAAGCAATGCTCCTGCTTCAGCCTTCTCAGTAGGTGGGATGCAGATGCGTATGTATGTAGTTCTGTAAAGACTGATTTGATACTGCAGGGGAAACTATAGGTGCCCAGCACACAGGTTAACGAATAGTTCTTCCCGCCTGTGAGTACAGAACTAGGCTTGAAGAATGCCAGTGTAGTAGATGTTTCAAGAATTACAAAAACTGCCGGGCAGTGGTGGCGCACACCTTTAATCCCAGCACTTGGGAGGCAGAGGCAGGCGGATTTCTGAGTTCGAGAGTTCGAGGTTGGGCTGGTCTACAGAGTGAGTTCCAGGACAGCCAGGGCTACACAGAGAAACCCTGTCTCGAAAAACCAAAAGAATTACAAAAACAGGGGCAGGAGACATGGCTCAGCAGCCAAGAGAGCACTTGAGACCACAGAGGACCTGGGTTCAGTTCCTACACGGCTGTTCATTTCAGGTCTCAGAGACCTGAGGACCTCTTCTTGCCCTCTGAGGATACCGGGTACACATTTGTTACATATCCATACACATAAAATAAAAATCTTTTTAAAAAAAATTACCAAAACAGGATTTTGGAGAGATAGCTTAGCAGTTAAGAGCAGTTGCTCTCAGAGGACCCACTTTAATTCCCAGCATCCACGTCAGGTGGCTCACAACCACCTGCAACTTCCCTTCCAGGGAATCCAATGGCATCTTCTGGCCTCCAACGGCATGAGGCACTCATATGGTACAGGCGTGCGAGGACTAAACGCCTATACACAGAACACTTAAAATGGGTATGAATAAAAACTAAATTCAAATTACAGAAACAGGAGCGCCATATACTTGGTGGAACATATTCATGGATGAGATCTGAGAGCCAAAAATTGGATTATTTTAAAACAGAACGTTGGTCTCATGAAAATAGCACCATGTGTTCCTTTTGTTTAGTTCTCAGTCTTTTGTCTGAGCTTGGATCCTGTAAACTGGGATTTTAAAGGGTACCTAGAAGGCAGGAGGGAGGATGGGCCTGTGTGTGATGAGTGTGTCCGGCTCAACGTCCCCACATCTTGTCTGACAAATATCCCAAGATCTGAAACCAAGTAGCTTCAGTACTGGGGGTGAGGCCGAGTGAGAGAGTACCTTGGATGTGTAAGGGCCTGGGTTTTATCCCTAGCACAAAAACCAAAAAGTAAACCAAGTGGTTTGGCCTGGAGGGGTCATGTGACTAGCTAGACACTACAAAACTCAGGTCTGAGTGAGGTTCTCCTAACACAACCTCAAGAAACTCTAGAAGCCTGTAAGAGCTTGGAGCTGCATACCTCTCAGTACATGGGTGCTTAGGTGAATGGTGTTCTAGGATTATCTGGGCTACGTAATAAACTGCCTTAAAAATTAAACATATCAGAGGAGTATAAAAACCTGGTGCCTTTTTCCAGGTGGAATATCTCAAGGCCAGGCTCTTGTCTTCCTGGTGTGAATGCAATGGCCGGAGTAGGCGGGTTGTTGGGACAGCAACAAGAAAGCATGGGTTACTTTCATAAGAGGGAAGCCAAAAGGAGAAAGGGGAGGAAAGATTACATCCTGCCTTGTCGTGAAACCCACCAACGGTGAGATATATCACGGTAAAACTCATCAATGGTGAGATATATCACATCCTCTTGCTAGGTATCTTCATCTAGAGGGGGAGTCTGCACTTTTGTCATGTGGGTGACAGGAGCTAATGGACTTCAAACACACCCTGAAAAGGAAATCTTCTGGACTAATAAACAGTAATAAAATGACCATTGCAATACAGCCGCCTTAGAGCACACCTGCACTGGACTCCCTATCATTTAGCTGATGTAGTCATCACAACCACTCATTCACATGAGAAAAGGGAGGCTCAGAGGAGAGATCTTTCCCGAGGGAATGCTAAGAGGGGATCAGTAGGAGGCTGGAGCCAAGCTGAGGGTTGGCAGCTGGGGACAAGGACAGCCAGCCGTCGGGGATCCGCACCTGCAACCCAGGAAGAGGTGGTTGGCCCAGACCATGGATAAGGACAGCAGCTGGTCCAGGCGGCCGCCGCCGTCGGGTGGGTCTCGGTAGTCAGGCAGGTGGCGCAGGATGAACTCCATGCGCGCTTTCCATTGCTTCTCACTCTCCGAGTAGGAACGGAACTGCTCGGCGAAGTCGGCGGCCTGCCGCACGCCGGAAACTAGCTTCTCCACCGCGGAGGTGGCATCGCCACCCACCATGACTCCCGCTGCCGCAGACGATGCCGCCGCCAAGGATCGCACCAGCCCGCCGCTTTCCCGACACGCCCCGCGCCGCCGCCGCACGGCTAGAGCGACCGCGGCTGAGCGCGAGTGCTCTGGAGGACTTATCGGGAGCGCCCTCGCGGGGCACGGAGGCCGAGTGCGGCCCACTGCGTGTTACAACTGCTGGGGATCCTGAGGCCGGCCAACGCCAACGTAGAGCTAGCTGGGTGTCCTTTGGGGAGTCTACAATACCCTTTTTGCCCTACGGTGTTCCCCGGGTATCTGTTTATCCTCAGCCACACCTGAGGCTTTCCCTACATTCTGTAGATCTCCTTGGAGAGTGAGGTCCTCTCTTTTATGGCTCCACTGTGGTCTCAACATCTTCATTAAGGTTGTGCTCTCCCTTCCTGCTGTATTCATCATCCATCCAATCAGTACCTACAAGGCATTTTGTTTGGTACCCAGGATGCCCCACTCTAAAGAACTTTGTGAGGGAGGTAGATTAGACATAAGGGAAAGAATTGCCCAAGTAAATAGGACGTTGACAAGTCATAAAATTCAGAATACCACAAAGCTGAAGAAGCAAGGGAACGCTCCAATCTTGGGGATGTGGAAATGGTGGTGGGAAACTGAAGAACTCTTAAGTTCAACCTCTTGGACCTTCATGGTGGAAGGAGAGAACCAACTCCTGAAATTTTTCCTCTGACTTCTCCATGCAAGTTGTGGTACTTTGATGTATACACACACACACACACACACACACACACACACCCCAAGCAAATAAATAAATGTAAAAATAAAAAAATGTAAGGTAAGGTTGAGTCAGAAGAAAGCCTAGAATTCAGGATCTCCAGTTCTAGTGACGGTCTTAAGTGGTGAGTGGGCTTCAAGGCAAATGTTCATTATATACTGTTTGCTATGGCAGATCATTCCCCGCCCAAGGGTCTTACACTGCATAGCCCAGCCTGGCCTACAACCACTTGCCTCCCTTCTGCAGCTTCTGTTGCAGTGTTAGGAATCCCAGCAGACAGAAATGCAATCCAATCCACAAATGGCAGAGCAGTAAGGATCAGCACCATGCTGAGTGACAACCCTTTCACTTCAGGAAGACATGGTACTGACATTCCAGCACAGAACATCTGAACCAAACGTGAGAATCCAAAGACAGAAACAGCTTTTCCCCAGCAGTCAGCACGTTAACTGGATAATGGAGACCTGAGCTGAGTCCCCGGGATGCAGATGGCATACCCTGAAAAGCTTATTGCAGTAGCAGGTTCCCAAGTGAACCCCCAGATACCCAGAGCCAAGGTTCCTGGTAATTCTGATTCTAGCTTCAGCTGACCAGACTCTGAGAACATATGATGAGCCAGGCACAGGAACAGACATCTTTTGTCCTATTTACTTCATATGACAAGGCAGGAGAATTATTTGAGCCTGGAAGTTTGCTGCCATCCTTATCATCAGAGAAAGACCCTTGTTTCTTAAAAACACTGTGGAGGCTTCTCTGAGCTATATCCTTGGACCCTTGGTTGTATACTGCAGTGGTTGGTCCAGAAATGAGAACAAAGAGACTGGAAAGATGGCTCTGCAGTTAAGAGGACTGGCTGTTCTTCTAGAGGATCTGGGTTTGGTTCCCGGAACCCTCATGGAGGCTTACAGCCATCTATAATTACAGTTACTTTTTTTGTTTTGTTGTTGTTGTTGTTGTTTTTAATAATATAGGCCACAGGCTTATTAAGACTCCTCTGCTTTAGCCTCCCGAGAGTTGGTATTTTACGTGTGTTCCACCATGCTATTGAATTTTGATATAAATTTTAGCATCTCTTTGCTGACTTCTAGAGAAACAGACCGTTGCTATTTCATACAGGATCATGTCATCTGAATAGATCAATAGGAGACTTAACATCTTATCGCTAGCGAATCTTCTAGTTCATAAACATGGCAATGATGCATCTCCCCACTTACTCCCGCCTTTTGTGCACGTGCTTCTGTTTTGTTGTTTCGTTTACTTAGTTTTTGAGATAGTGTCCCTTTCTGTGGTCCAGAGTGTCCTTGAAATCTCAGCCTTCCTGCCTTAGCTTCCTAAATTCTGTGATTACAGGTGTGCTGCTGCTGTGTATGGGGAGTGGTGTGTGCTTTTTAAAAGCACGTTTTTATGCAGCCCAGGATGTCCTCAAACTCCTTTGGTGGCTGAGGCCGGCTTTGAAATACTGCTCCTTGGACCTCCACTTACCAAGTGCTAGGATTGCAGGCATGAGCCAGTATATGTGGCTTTGTGGTTTGCTGTTTCTGTTTGTTTGCTTGCTTGCTTCTTTCGGATGTGAATGAGTGTTATTGGTAAACATTAGCAGAATGTGGAAGTCAGCACAGGGGAAAGCCTCAGGAGTGAAGGGTCACCACTGGGCCAGGAGATCACAAATGGCGATGTACTTGACCCCACAGACACCAGAGAGAAGCTGATTTTCAGCTACTATGACTTCAAATTCATCTGCATGAAATCTGATGAAGTCCTCGTTCTTTGAGATGTAGATCTTCTGGAGGCCAGTGAACTTGAACCTGGCCTTTCCCAGGCCCTCAGACATATGTTCCTTATTTTGCATCTTGAAGCAGATAGTCATGATGACTTGAGTTGTGTGGACCTGTGTTTGGGGGGGTTCCCAAAGGTGGTGGGCTTACAGGTCTGCAGCCTAGAGTACGGGTAGCTGAGCTCAGAGACAAGTATATCCTTCAAAACTCTATCTTGAAGGCCCTCGGGCAATCCAAACAAGGTACAGGCTGCACACTCCCAAGGAGGCAGCTCCTTGCAGCCATTGCATCCAGGGCCCCAAGAGGAAAGAGTCCTGGTCTTCTGGTGCAGAGGTTGTGTGTTTTTAGGTCCCATGAACCATGAGACTTACACACCCATTTTCTACTTTGTCCTTTTTTCTTTATTCCTTATACATCTTTTATACTGTGTGCTTCATTGTCTTTTCTTCTTTTAATTCCAAACATCCATTTACTCACTGGAAGCGATCAAAGTAAGGACAGCGGTACTGTGTCTCTCTCTTGCATGATCTTTCTAAGCTCCTTTACATCAATGGACAAAGCAGGCTTAACACGTCACCTAAGATAGTGTAGCATCATCGGTTTTGGAAGAAACATCCTTAATAACAAATACAAAATATGGAACCCTTCACAAATGATTAGCATGTCAGCCTTGCACAGGGACTGTGCTAATCACCTCTGTGTCATTCCGTGCTAATCGTGTCTGTATCGTTCCGACTTTAGCAAGTGTGCTGCCCAAGTGAGCACATGGTTTCATGTTCTTTATACTTGAAATTTTACTATTCAAGTATCCTTTTAATCTCAACACTCAGAGTAGAAGCAGGTGGATCTCTGTGAGTTCGAGGCCAGCCTAATCTACAAACGGAGTTCTAGGCCAGAAAGAGGTTTCTAGTAAGATCCTGCCTCAAAAGCAAAACAAAAACAAAACGAAAACAAAAACAAAAAAAACCCGAAACAAACAAACCCTCCCACTTCCTTTACCAATTTAAATTTAATTTTTATTTTAAGACAGGGTCTTATTTAGCCCAAGCTAGCCTCTAACTCTCTGTGTAGTCAAGGATGGCCTGGTACTATGATGCTGCCTGCACCTCCCAAGAGCTGGGGCTTTAGGTGTGAGCCACGTGGCTACATAGCAGGTCACTGAACTTTGAGCTTCACTAGTTGTGGGTTTTGTTTTTTGTTCTTCTTTGGTTTGGTTGTTTGGTTTTCTTTCTTCTTCTTTTTTCTACTCCTTCTCTTTTTCTCTTCCTCTTTCTCCCAAGATTATTTTTTGTCATGGTCTTACAAATTCTTTGGATTGCAGACCTGAGCTAATTCTAGGAGCTGCATTAATCTCTCTCTCAGTCACACTGTTTACTGTTGGGTTTGCCACTTGGTGGCATTTTGCACACAGGACTCTTCAGAATACAAAGTTTTTTACTTCATTTTTAAAAAAAAATGTGTGTATGGCTGTTTGCTTGTATGCATGTCTGTGTACCTCATGCATGCCTAGGGCAAAAAAGGGAATCAGATCCCTGAAGCTGGAGTTGTAGACAGTTTTGAGCTGACATACTGGGAATCAAACCTGAGTCCTCTGTAAGAACAAGTGCTTTTAACTGCTGAACTACCTCTCAAGACCATACAATTAAAAAAAAAAAAAAAGACTTATTGCCAAATGTGGTTGGTGGTGTACACCATTAATCCCAGCACTCAGGAGGCAGAGGCACACACATCTCTGTGAGTTTTAAGCCAGCCTGCTCTACATAGTGACTTGCATGACAGCCAAAGCTACATACTGAGACCCTGCCTCAAAATAAAATAAGCAAAAACTGTGTTTGTTTATTTTTATGTGCGGGAGTGTTTTGTCTGCACAAATGCAAATGTACTACCTATCAAGCCTAGTGCCCATGGAAGCCAGACTTGGGTATCGGGTCCCCTGGAACTGACGTTACAGGCAGTCTGGGTCACCATGTGTGTGATGGAGACTGAACCTGGGTCCCCTGCGAGAGAAGCCAGTGCCAAGTATTCTCTCCACAGCCCCTGTGCTATTTTTGTTTTGTTTTTGAGAAAAGGTTTCAGTATATAACCTTGGCTAAGCTGGAACTTGTGTGTGCTGTGTAGACCAGGCTGGCCTTGAATTTATTTCTGTCTTACTGTGTCTGCCTCCCCAGGTCTAGGGTTGCAGGAAGGAAACACCATGCCTGGCTCTTTGTTGTCATTGTTTGAGGACAGCGCCTCCTATAACCTAAGTTGGTCTCCCAACTATGTACCTGGTGACCTTGACCTTCTAAATCCTCCTGCCTCAGCTTCTCAAGTGATATGATTACAGAAAAAAAAATTTTTTTTTTGAGTTTTGTTTCTTTTGGGGACAAGATCTCACTACATATCCCTCGGCCACTAAGAACTTACTATATAAATCAAGCTGCCCTTAAACTCATAGAGAGCCCCCTACTCTGCCTCCTGAGAGCTGGGATTAACATGTTGGTATATAGCTGTCACACTTGAAGGTACATTGACTGTATGGAATCTTTGGCCCACATTTTCCTTCCTGTGAAT